GATTAGCAAGTGTTATATTGATAGTGATGGAAAAGGAAGCCAACTTACATGTTACCAGGCTCCTGGTAGCGGGCGACGACGTAAGAAGCACCGTCATTGCTCTTGGCGACAGCCATTCCGACCTTGGTGGTGGACTTCCAGATGCACTGGGTGTAGTGACCGAAGCTCATGTAGTTGGAGCCGGAGATGGTCTCGCCGTTGTACAGGCTCTTCTCGCTAAGGAAGGCCTCGATGGCGTCGGCGAAGGGAGTGTCAGAGGTACCCATGTAGAGGTTCTCACCGTCCTTGCCCTGGGAGTGGGTAAGGCTGCCGAGAGAGGCGATGTGGTCAGCCCACTCTTGGGCACCGGAAACGAGGGAGTCATCCCACTCGAGAGGACCGTTACCGACAGCCTTGCGAGCCTCGTTGTGGAGATCGACAGCCTTCTGCTGGTCGGCGGTCAGAGAGCCGGAACCAGAGCCGGAGCTAGGCTCCTCCTTCTCGGGCTCCTCCTTCTCGGGCTGCTCGGTCGCGGGCTGCTCGGTCGCAGGCTCCTTGTCCTCGACAGGGGCGGGGACGTAGGTGGGCTTGGGAGCCTGGACATTGGTCTGTCTGGGCTTCTTAACCCAGCGGAGAGTTGTGGGCTTGACCTCGACCGGAGCAGGCTTCTCGTAAGCAAAGGTTGGCTTGGGCTGCTCGGCGCCGGCGGTAACGACCTTGGTAACGTAGGCGTACTCGGTGACGACCTTATAGTGAGGAGATGCCATGGCACTGGTGGCCATGACGGAAGCGAGGAAGGCAGAGAAATGCATCTTGTCTGTTTGAGCTTAAAGTTGTTGGAGTTGAAGCTTTTTGGTTAACGTCGCCAGGACTGTTAAATAAAGATTTTGAGTTGGTTTGAGGGAAAGGACCGTTGGAAGGATTGGAATGAATGTGTTGAATCCTTCAAGGATGTGAATGAGTGTATCTCTGGAGCAAGGAGTGACGAAGACTGAGTTGTGTCTGGAGAGTGAAGAAGGGATCAAGAGAAGATGGGGGACGGAATGAAGGTTATATTATAGTTGTACAACATTCAGAGTGCAGCGTCGATCTCATTGGGCAATGGGGTGTCACATTGAACCCGACTGGCAGTCATCCCATGTGCAATGTGGAAATTCGATGCGCGCAAGCCTCTCAGGCCGTGGCTTGGCCCTAGCCCGCCAACATTGAATCGATTGAAAGAGGCGGGCGGAGTCTGTGTGTTTCAAATGGTAGATGCTCCGATGTGGGCTACCTTGATCCAGGGGTAAACCCAACTAAAGAGATGGGTTGGCCTGGAACTAGACCAGGGGTAAAAAGGCTTGGTTCCTGGTCTGGTTGTCCACAGAGAGGGAAGAAAAGCCGTTGATGGGCCTCAGCGTTTCGATCCAATAAGACACGGCCTGTACTACTCGAGTAGGTCAAGTCAAATATGACACCCGAGCCTCCGGATGACGGGTGTGGGGAGGGATGCCACACTGAAACCCCTCATATCGATCCTGTAATAACAAGAAAGAGAATGGATCTTTTGGCCTGGGTTGTTTCGTATTAACTCGGTCATCAAGCCATGAAAGAAAAAGAGACGAGATGACAAGCCGGGGCAGTTTTAGTTCCTGACTAAGAGAGCAACGGCGTGTTTTTTTTTTTGGCGCCAGGCGGCAAAAGACGAAGAGTCTAGTGCACTGAAGCAAGACCCTCAGGGAGCACAAAGCGCGGGAAGCAGTCTGAGACCAAAAAGCATCATTTTGTCGTCCAATGTTGCGGCACATCACAGACGCATGCCACGCACAGACTGTGTACCTTTCACTGTAGACTGTATCCCCCGGCTTTTCAAATCACGGCTCCAATATCGCTTAACGTTACAAGTCCATAATATCCCGAGCAAAAAGCAAGGATCAGCCTGTCATTTCCCCAACTTGAAGATTCGCCCCATCAGCCTTGGAAATTGTACATTGATGCAAAACCCTGCCTTGGAAGAAATCCCCCTTGATCCTGTTTTCTTTTCTTTCTCTCCCTTGGTGGCCAAAGAAACAGGACACGAAAACAGAGTTGAGGAAAAGTTGGCTAGTTGCTTTCTTGACTCGTTTATCCCGACGCGTTGCAACAGGCTAACTGGAGACTACTGCAAGGGACAAAGAGGCCTCTAATTGGTTGAGATGGGCCATCACTAGGCCAATTTGCAGTGGAATGCCAGCTGTCAAGCATCAAGAATGTCATCGCATGTGGGCAAAACAAGAAAAGGGGGACTAAAGAACAACACCAAGTGTCGTGGGCCTTTGGTTAGTTGCTCAACATCAAGAGTTGAAACAAGCCATCGTGTTTTGGATTATTTCTTTCTTCTTCTTTGTCGGAAGTAACGGGTGAAAGAAGAAGGAAGAAGAAAAGGGTCAGTAACAATGGTGCAGTAAGTATCCGTACACTACAGAGGCAGTAGGCCAGTCATGTTTGGTCGAAACAACGCCACGGCGCTTCCTCCTTTGTTGACGAACCCAATCATTCACCTGTATTTTTCCTCCTTGCGCCTTTGTTTCTCTGCCGCCACCAGATGTTTTATGTAGTGGAGTTGCATTGAGTCTTTTCTAGCCAAGATCCAGGTCTCAAAAGTTGGTATGGTTACAACAAAGATCGGCGTCAAAAAACGAAGTCAGTCCGCCATGCCATGTTACTATCATTGCCATGTTACCGGATGATCCGCTTCCAGTGCCGAGGCGGTTCTCGTTCTCTTCCAATCTTTCTAGACGAAGATCCCTCCCTTGTCCCCTGTTCTTGTTTTCTAGGGGGGGCCCTGGTCTGAATCCACGTTTTTGTTGATTGCGATTCGTCTCGAGCTTATATTAAAGTCATTTCAGAGCCTTGTTCGTTGGGAATAGATTGCACTGCAACAATAGAGTTTCATTTCCTTCCAGGTTTATTACCGGTCATCCCGCCCGGTTTGTCATAGTACTGGGCTGGCATTGGGAAAATAATGCCGCTTTTTTCACTTGGTTCTAAAGCGGGGAATGCCAAGAGAGTGGCCGCGCGTAACAAGACCCTTGAGAAGAAACAGTAGCGATTGAGTTAAGTCGGATATCATTCAACAGTCAAGTCAGTCACTGGCTCTGACATATTCACACGTGAAGCACGGTATCTGTCAAAAGACATGGTCATAACTCATCTTGACATCGCCCAACGCACGAACCATCTAATCTCACGACATAACTACGTGGCTTGGCTTCTCTGAAACAGCCACTCGAGCTGCCTTCCTAACATGGACTCAATCATTGTCGGATTGATTACTGATGTCTTTACCTTCCTGTTCCTGATTGTAAGCACGTATTGGTTGATGAATACGGAGGATCAGTTCGCTTCAGATCTCGTCAAGAGAGTTTTCGTATTATAGCTCAAGATAAAATTATCTCATGCGCTTGTTTGATCTTCTGATCGCGTAGATCTTTTAGTTTACCGCCAAAAGTGTCATGCTTGCAAAAGGAAATGAGCAATTCGTATTTCCGTCTCGAGGCTGACGGACTATTTATTGAGGCTTTTGAGGCAGCCAACGAGTATAGGGTAAGCTGAGTTCAAAGTGCAAGGCGAGACACTTTACATATCAGTCGATTACGAGATGCTTTATAATGATACTGTGTATTCAGATAAACATGCTGTGGCTTGTTGAACCCTGAATTGTCTATGTTGGTTGGTGGTGGCTGGCTATAATTGAGTACATCTTAGGTATGCTGTTTTGTTATGCATAATTCAGTCTGATGTCTCAATGGGAGACTAAGATAGCTAGGTCAAGATAGTGTACTAACAGATAAACCGACCTTAGTGCCTGATCTGGACTCTATCAGTTAGAGTGCCGTCACATCTTATTGGCAATCCACTTTGTCTCGGAGGCACGAAACTCTCGGAATGTGGATCGTGTTCTATCATAGACATGTTTCTCAATAAAGCTGGTTGCATCATGATTGCATCGACACTTTTTTCAAGTGAGACCGGGGTTGGGGTTTTGCTGTACTGATGATTGATAATCTCGTATCGGCAAAATTCGTGTAGCGATGCTTGAATGAATTATATCCTCTTGTAAAACAAACTTATCACCTTAGGTAACATTGGACGGTTGAGCGACGTTGCCTCGACAATTCACTGTCAAAAGTTACCATTATCGGCTGTGGCATCATGTCGGGTTCTTTTGTATTACCTATGTAACTGAATCAATTGCTACATATTGTAGCCATCTCACTTCGGAGCCCTCGGAGCCAATTCTCTGCTTTCATCCGACACGGCTCCGAAACGAGTCTTCAGGCTGTCTGTCAAGTCTCCCTTGTCGCAAACGGCAGCATTCCTCTCTCTATCGGAAACAGATGCTCCCGTACCAGCCAAGATATCCAAAGGGCATCGCCTAGCCGTGTCGGAATTACCAAGAATACATCAATTTGCCACTAGTTTATCCCAATTCAAGAACGAGAGAGCGTGATGAAGTCTTATGGTGAGGAGTGAGCAGAACATGCTTCATAGTAGGCTTCCAATGTAATGTGGGTTAATAAGTATGTATTTCGTGTCAAGTGTCCGGAAGTCGGTCGAATATGTATGTGCTAGTAAGAATGAATGCAATTCATTTCAGGACCACTAACTTTGGGTTGATAATTCGGCAACATTGATCATCATTATTTGAGTGGGAATGTCTCATGTAAACAATGCTGTTTGTTGCTACGAAACGTTCAACCCAAATGATATATCTGATTCGAGAGAACTGGGAACTCTGTGAACTGTAGAATAATCTATCTTCATCAAATTCACATGCTGCGTCATTTACAACACGTTACTGTGCAGCACACACACGACTGTAAACACATTGGACCAATGGAGAACCAACGATCAGGATGACAAAGCTGACTCCCCGGTAATCAACACGTCAGACGAGATCCTCACGTTATCACTCTTTATACAGTATCAACTTGACCAACTCATTGAAATTGAGTCTCTTTCTCTCCACCTAACAAAAAAAAACTTATCAAGAAGCAATGATGGCTAATGCTGGAATCACGAAATCACAAAAGCCTAAACGGAAGGGCCGATCCCGGCCTCTGCCACCTGATGTTACGGCTCGGAACCTGGCAATCGAGAAACAACGTCGTGGTGAAATGAACGAAAACTTTCTGGTAAATCACAATTCGTATCGATCAAGACAATGCAAACATGAACTGATATGATATGCTTGCGCTTGTAGGAATTGGCGCGTATGCTTCCCAATATTGCTGCCGCGCGACGTCTCACAAAGGTGCTCATCGTGAATAAGACTATCGAGCACGTGCGACAACAACGTGAAATCTGTCTGGCAGCAGATCGGGATATGCAAGAATTAGTTGCAGAGAATAGTCGCCTGATATCAGAGGTCAATTGCTTGCGTGCTCAAGTAGGAGGACCAGCAGCGCCCGTAGTTCAACCCAAGCCTGCGACAGAAGCCATGAAGCAATTGGCAGAGACCAAGAATCATGTCTTCGGGACATTTTCAGCGGGGTTTGGTGATAAATGGGTCGAGAAAGCTTCCCAAGCTCATGTCCAGACAGGAGCGAGGAACAATGTCTATGATATTCCTGTTGGTGACCTTGACAAAACCTCTGTGCAGCAAACTGCTTCCATTATTTCACCAACGAATATCCAGCCCAGAACCGAGACAATTTTACACAACGAGTCATTCGGAACTGTATACCAGCAGCCCGACATCAGTCTCGACCCAAACCTCGATACAACAAACGAAGCGCCACTCTTGTCGTCGTTTAATCCCACTGTGATAGGCAATTCACATCTCCCTGATCAATTGTTAACCAACGGATCTTATACAGGTGGGACAATTCCAGCAGATCAGGCTTATTGGTTTGCGGGAATGGATGTGGGCATCCCATTGCAGCAGTTTCAGGGCGAGAATGGGGATATGCTTGGTTGTATATAACGCATCTCCGTTATGCTATCTGAATGGTACCTCTCAAGCATCAGAACTGCTTCAGGGCCTCTTCAATCACAGCGCGACTCTGCAGCTCATTCTGCTTGAACGCTTCAAGGGCTTCTAAGAGTCCCCTCCTTGTGACAGGATCGGCAGCGATGGCTTCTTCCAAAGCCACACCATTGTCGGCCAAGTAATCTATTTCGGTAGACGGAAGCTTGCCATCCCAAAGTGCCCCAGCGAGAGGGTCAGCTTTTGCCAGATGAGCAACTCGTTCTGAAACACCTTGGATGTGCTCTTGGGCGACATCGCCTGGTGGTAGATTCTCCTCTACATCGATAAGCGATAGCTGGAGAAGGATATCTTCAGGTACGGTCACATGGTCACATCCAAACTCTGCCATAGCCATGACCTCTTGGGGAGAAACAAAGCTGAAAAAGATAAGAAATTAGCTAGTGGTTGCTTATTACTGTTAATAATGGTATACTGCTACTCACCTAGCGGGTTTCAGAAGTGGTTGGACTCTGCCAGTCTCTTGCTGAAGACGTTGGTAGGCTTGTTGAATCTGCACGATTCTTGGTGACATTGGATGATCAAGAGCCGGGCCTTCTACATCAGGCCACTGCTTGCGGTCGGCGTGATACCAGGGGACTTAAGAATAGTCAGAGAGCCTATTCATAGAGTCATAGAAGCATTATCAAACACTTACAGTTGTAATAAGGACTGATGGAGAGCGTCCCGGCTTGGCTAGCCGCAATTGCTTGGACGACAGAGAAGAGAGAAGTACCCAATGAACGGATACCTTCTTGAAGAAGGATCGAGCTTGCATTTAGTGCAGGTCCAGTGCACGAAATCTTGATACAAATGCGGTGCTTGGAAATACCGAGCTTCTCAAATTCATGGGCATAAGAACGAGCTTGAGCCACAACTTTCTCAGTGTCATAAGCGTGATTAGCTGAGACTTGAAGTAGAACACGTCCTTGAATATTGTCAAGGTTCTTAGCGCAGAGAAGGGCACTCTATTAATGTCAAAAAGCAATCAGTTATCACAATTCGTTCCATCTACACCTTTCACGTACCATACGATTGAGAATCACTTCCCATCCTTCGTCTCTACCTTGTTCGACTGTCTCAAGGAAGAGCTCACGGTTCTCAGAAGAGACCATTTGCTCGTATACCAAGCGCTGATTGCTCGTCTGATCATGGGGCATGAAGGGCAGGAACCGCTTAGCTTCTAGAGGATCCATACAGTCGATGTCGATTTTCACTGTTGTACTTGTGTTAGCATGTCCTACCATAATGATTGAGAAAGAGAGCATGCCTTGCTTTTGGAGCACATCGAGCCAAGTGGTGCTTACCATGGTTTCGGATAACCTTTGAGGAATATATGGGAGCTATGTCATTTAGACAAGAGAAGAGGCCATCGAAAACATATGAGGGAGAGCAGATCCTATCTTTATAGACTTTATCACACAAATGGAAATGGAATCTGGTACGTAGCTGTAGCGCCACACTGCAATGCAGGGACTGTACAGTTGACAACACCCTCCTGATGGTTGCCAATCATGTTGCGAGTCGCAGACGTTACTGTACAGTGATCGTTGTCCTGACCAGTGGGCAACTATAGCTTCCATGCGACTGTACAGTCCACGTGACGATCAACAAATACCGGCTAGGATCCCAGAATATATCCCCAACATGGTACATTACAAAGTAAGAGGTAAGGCGAAAGACATCGGTTCTTGACTGATCATGCCAAGCTAAGCTCACATAGATGCTCGAGTTCACTTGCGTGTTTGATCAGAACCGTTTCTGAATTATATTTGACATTGATGTATGGGACATAAGAACTGCGAGTAAACCTGCCCATTATTGCCTGTAGGAAACTGCATTTTAACTAAAGAACACTGATACCTCCATCAACGACCAAGTCTGCACCAGTCATATAACTACCAGCCTTACTAGCCAACAATATGATAGCACCCGTGAGCTCCTGCGGATCTCCCATGCGACCGAAGGGAGTCCTGCTTGCCCATGCAGCTCTGTGCTCAGCCAACCCATCGCCTTCATTCAGAATAGTGTCCATGTAGCCAGGGCTAATACTGTTGACGCGAATACCATGAACAGCCCATTCAGCAGCCAAAGAACTCTTCAGGGAAAGCACAGCAGCCTTTGCGGCATTGTAGTGTGCCTGCGGCTGAGGAAAGTTCACTATGTGACCGGATATGCTCGCCATCAAGACAATTGAACCACCGCTACCTCGACTTGCCATAGACTTTGCTGTAGCTTGCGCAACAAGAAAACTGCCAGTGATGTTGACGTCAAGCATGGTACTGAACTGCTGAGGGGTAATGTCAAAGGCGCGCGATGCAAATGCAATGCCTGCAAAGCAGAAGCATAGGCTAATTGGCCCAATGATTTGCTCCGCCTCGGTTACGGCTGTTGTGACAGCAAGAGGATCAGTCACGTTGACTTTGATGAATGTGAGCTTTGCCTCGGGAAAGTCGGCTTGAAGACTGTCGATGACCTCTTGGCCTGCATCCGGATGCATGTCAAAAATAGCCAGACCTTGAAGGCCATGCTCAAGTAAGGCTCTACAAGCGACGGAACCGATATCTCCAGCTCCACCAGTGACGATGGCATTGCCGGTGACAGTGAAACGAGCTGCAGCTCGACCAGCGGGCGTGTCGCTGGACTTCCGAGCTTCTGGAGGTGAGGTTTTGGAAGTGACTGAACCATCGCTGAATTGCATTGACGGCGGAAGACGGGATCGGAGTTCAGATCGTGGAACAGACATTGCAGTTGTAGTTGCCCGTGAAGAGGTAGGTGAATATGTTGAAGAGATATGCTGTGAAGAATAAACAACATTTCAATGCGCAGATTCTAAGACTACGGATTATATACTCAACTTTTTGTGCTGGCGAGTAGCGTGCCTTTGGCTACTTGCATTTGTCGCATGCTACAGGTGTTACTGTACAGTAAACTTGTCATTTGACCAATCAATCAGTATGAAAACTGTACAGTACATGCATTAGTGCTCACTGTTTTCCACTAAGTAACAGAACCAGATTGCCCCTGACAACACTCCAGGTTGCTAACGATCGTAGTTTCTACATGGTAATGACTTTAACTGGCGTATCGATAAATTGAGGGATAGTATCATGGCGTGTTGTGTATGATTTAACGATTGAAAGTTGTGACAGCCTCAAGGTGGAGAAATAATCTGTATGCAGGTCCGCTACTGAGGTGAGGATTGTCCCATGCCACTCATGAATGTGAATTATACGAAATCGGATCAAAAAGCTCCGTCTCCACGGAAGTGATCAAGTTGTAGTTCTTTTGAAACTTAGGACCAGGGATCGAGATCGTCCCCGAAGTATTTAGTAGTTGAGGCATTGATTGGTCTCGATGAGGTTATTCTAGCCTAATTTGACACGTATGAATATTAAGTTAGAGTGAGGAAGTGACTGAATTGGATTAGATGCGATTTTCTATTAGTTAGATATTGAAACGAAAACCTGTCGACCAATAGCCAAAACATCTATACGAAATTTCCACAAGAGGCTATCTACAAACGTTACTATGTCTGGCTATTCTTATGGACAAGTAGAAGCCAAGTAGTTGTATGGTCTGCTTCGGAGAAAAATGGTGTCTTTGGATGTTGGTTAGTGATTAGTATCAGTCTGATCCCGAGTAACAGTATCTCGGCATGGTATCTCTAGAGCAGGCGAGGATCATTTGTTATAAATACTCATAACCGAATTGGGGACTATTACACATACCAACTATGAACGCAACACACACACCCAACTGAGCCTCGTGGTCTGTAAAACTCTTTCTTTCGTCACTGGCCTAAACCGACTTCGTCTGCCTCGGAGGTCCCTGGATGCAGATGACCCGGTGAGGGCTTTGATTATGCACATGGTCAGTACCTCAGCCATATGGCTTTCTTCTCTAATAACAATTCAGAGATGATGTGATATATAAATTAGATCAAGACTAAGCACTGCGCAGGATTTCACGGTAGTAAGTTTATCAACGAGCACATTGGAACAAAGACTCCCAAGTTAACAGTAAATTTATATGTACTGAAATATTTACATATCCTATTCCACACACATCCAAATCCAATTCCTCCTCTTGTAAACCGCTTAAGCGGAAGCACCGTTGAAGGCGATCAGGTTGGGGCTACCGCTCAGGGTGCCAGTGACACGGCCAGTGGTAGCAAGAGCCTTGATGCGGTTGGTAACAGCAGCAGGGGTGGAAAGACCCTCGAGAACCTGGAGGTAGAGAGCAAGACCAGCAACGTGAGGGCAGGCCATGGAGGTACCGCTGATGGAGTTGGTAGCAGAGGTGGAACCAATCCAGGTGGAGAGGATGCTGACACCAGGGGCGAAGACATCAACACCGGCACCGTAGTTGGTGAAAGAGGCAGTGCGCCAGCTGGAGTCAATGGCAGCAACGGTCAGAGCGTTGGGGACGTTGGCAGGAGACTGGCCAGAGACGGGAAGAGGGCGGCCGAAATCGTCACCGTTACCGGCAGCAACAACGGAGAGAACACCAGAGTTGTAAGCAGCGTTGATAGCAGTGGTCCAGGTCTGAGAAGCGGGACCACCGAGAGACAGGTTGATGACAGAGCGGCCGGTGCGTCCCTTGGAGGTGATGTCGTTGACAGCCCAGTTGAAACCAGAGAGGATAGTGGAGGTGGAACCACTGTTACCGGTGAAGACCTTGACAGAGATGACGTTGGCCTAAAGATAGTAAGTATAAAGTTCAGATGCTACCATAAATTGTGGGGTTTACTTACGCGCTTGGCAACACCGTAGGTGGCAGAAGCAATGGTTCCAGCGACGTGGGTACCGTGGCCAAGGGTGTCGACGTGAGCACCACCGGCAGCGTTGAAGCCGAGAGAAGCACGGCCACCGAAATCTCGGTGGTCGACGTTGATGCCGCTGTCAACGACGTAACCGTAAGCACCGGAGCCGGCAGTGGTGTCGTAGGTGTAAGTGCTGCCACCGGAGGTTCGGCGGGAGATGGAGGCAAGACCCCAAGGAGCACCACTCTGGGTAGTCAAGGCACGGTCAGACAGCTCGGTCTCGTAGTCGAGGTAGACAGTGTAGTCAGGCTCGACGAAAGCAACCTCGGGGCTCTTCTTGATCTCATCAATGGTAGCCTTGTCGAACTCGCCAGAGTAGGCGTTCCAGGTGCTGATGTTGAACTTCTTCTCGACACCAGAGGTATCACGCTTGTTAAGGCTGCGACGGTGAACATCGCTGACCCAGTTCAAGTGAGCCTCAACCTTGGTCTCAGAAGCCTCGGGCTTGAGAGTGATGATGTACTTGTCAGGTGCGGCAGTGAGTTCCTGTCGCTTCTCAGTGGGAGCGGCGAGGACTGCAGGGAGCAGAGCTCCAAGGCAGAGAGCGAGACGGCGGAAGCTGGTCATTTTGATGATTGAACTGGTCCTGAGCGAGAGTGACTGGCGAGAGTGTTGTGAGAAGAAGAGGCTGTGGTGGATGAGGATAGTAAAATCAAATATCGTGGTGATGTTCGATTGTATTTATACACAGAGTTACAAGAAGGATACTATACTCTTTGGACAATGAATATAGACCCAATCATTGCTATCATCAACTGCCTTTCTTGCGTGATAGCGTCGAAGTTGGAGATGTGGGAGGTTGAGAACATTCAGCTTCCTAAACCGTCACGGCGGCCGAGCTGTCCGAGTAAGGCAAGTGATAATGGGATGAATAGTATTAAGCAAAAGTGCCTATGCCAAGACCGACTATGTTCTGTAGTTAGCCTCCAAGCATCTTGGCCAAGTCCCTTGTAGGACCCTCTTACCCCACGGTCATCTACCGGCGCTTCTATTGGGACGATGAGGCTCATGGATGTGGCGTTAATGATAGATTGATCTCTGATCAACCTTTATTTGTATACTTGGAGATAAAGGTAGGTGATCTCCCGCTAGAGCTGTCCATTTTCCAGGGATCGAAACGGCTGAAAACAGGGCTTGATCTGGGTGTTTAGATTAGGGTAGATGGTAGATTCAGACGCGGGGTGAAATGCTGTCATCACATCTTATCACGTCTTGTCTGTCCAATCCTTCCCGTTGCCTTTTCTCCTAGCGAGTTTCGCAAGTAATCCGAGTATCGGAGTGTCGGGGCCCCCCGCTATCACCACTATCTCCCTCGGAGCAGTTGAACTTAATGGGAAAGGTGCATTACCTTGATTTCCTCCCTTGGAGCGGGAGCATCGTCCATGTGTGGAAAACGTGTTGCTGATCTGGTCAGGGACCAATGATGACAACACTCCGCCTAATGATGGGATGAGAACGGAGATAGTGTTGTTGGTGATCGACATTAGCAAAGCCTCGTGTGACCCCTGACTCCCTTGCTGGCTTGAGCCTAACGTGCTCGCGTGATTCGGAGCATATTTCCAATACGGGAATATGCTAAGGTTCTTATGTCTGAACTAGCAGTATGCTTGATTTATGCATGCGTGATACCTAGTCTAGCGTTGCGCAGTCTGACAGGGGTAAGGCTGACGTTCCGCGAATCACAAAAGAATGCTTGATCGCTATCTCGGCATCTAGGTTTGTCAATTCCTTGCGATGTCGACCATGTAAGATGTACTTGAACACCGTAACCTCCGAACGAGTGGTATAGTATATTGAATTGTTTATATTGGAGCGCTAGATAAGCATGGGTGTTGCTGCCTCACCGTTTCTACCGAATTTCTTAAACAAGATATACGTGCGGGTACCTAACATTAGATCGTCGGCCCGGTAGTTCTTAGTGAGGTAGAAAGATAGGCTCTAAACTCTAAAGGCCTCAACGCTATGACCGCCAAGTATTAATCTAATGATAGCTTGAATATGAATATCGATAGCGATGTAGATCACTTGAGTAGTCTATTACGAGAAACAAGATGGATTGAAAGGGGCGATAATGACCCGTGAATCTCATTTCATCTCTCGCCATCTGTACTATGGAAAGAGGCCTCTTGAATCTTGATGAATCAACACCCTTGCTTGCGTCTTTTCCATAGATAGTCGACCCCACCTTTAAAGGCAGGCCTAGGGTCTGAATTCACTCATCCAGTGATGACGGAATTCATGTCCCTGTCAGTCGACACCGTATTGACCCTTTGCATATAGAGTTGAGGTTAATATAAACAACTGCTAACAAAAGTTGGTGTGACATCCAAGACACTGTCTCAGCATTGGGACCTGCATAAAGCCTATGCAATACTACACATCACCTGGGGATCCGTAGCTGAGGACTGCTTATTGTGAGACCACCTTCCTAAACCAAACACCAAGAATCTCGTATAGTCATCGTTCCAGTAGGTGCACCGGAGGGGAAGAGATGGTGCTGCAATGATGGCGCTTCGACGGATAAATGCTCGATGATGGATGAAGTGATACAAAGCACTTGCCTTAATTGCTTTAGTTCATGCTCACTTCATTCTTGTGGGCTTCCTATTTTGCGAACGCTTACCAACCTGCTCGAAGTATCTCCGTATGCGATATTGTTCTGCTTAGGTGTACCTTGAGAAACGTTGACTGGTATTCCGAGATAGAATTAGCAATATCATATTGTCAGGGTAACTATCACTCAGAGCACTGCACTTGAGAAATTATACGTGTATTTTCACAAGCCGATATATACTCTTGATATGGCGTAATCTGAAAGGGTCAATAAGAGGTCACAGCAGCCCGCGATGATCGAGATAATCATGAGGTGATCTGACGGGATTACAGGAGGATTGCCTCCTAATAGAAACAACTTTTTTGCATATACCATCCCCAAGCGCTATTCTAGTTTTGTAGTGATATGATAATGGGCAAATCAAGCAGATATTAGTTATTATTACGCTGATTAATTTTTTGAATTCTTTTGGAAATACATGGTTTGAAATGACAGAAGGTTTTATTCATTCTTAGTATCAAGAAGAAAGCCTTAGGCTACGAACAAGGCTGTATTATAGTATAACAAGACATGTAAGCTGCTCTAAATTGACAACAAGGTCGTCAAAGCGACTCGAAAGATTCAAGAGCAAGTTATGATATAATTTGCGTTCTGTTTTGAGAATCGAGATGGCAATAAAACACTGGTCTTGTTTATGATAGTTTATAACAACATCGGTGTGCAGATGGTTGGAGGAATGACGGACTAGAGGAATAGCTAACAGGAATTTCCGTCTTCTGTCCTCGGCGATTAACAAAAACAGTTATTTCTATAGATCTACCCTTTTCCAGCTATTTGAAGTTGTTTATCTCTTTGATGTAGGGTAGTATCTTACTCAGCTGTCAGAAAATGACGCCGTCAAATATGCTTGGCACCTCATGTCAGCCCTCAAAAACCTGCTGATACGAAAAACCAGTGTTTACGTCATGGGATCCTTCGATCTTACATATTTATCGAGGCATACTCCGTTCAAATACACTGATAATAGTTCAAAACACGATCTGACAAAATGACGTCTCTCAATAGTTGGTATTGGCGCTTTCTCGAAAACTATGTCTATGCTGTGCCAGAACCTCCTCCACGCCGGCGAACTAAACCCATGCAGGTTTTATGTGTGGGCCCGCCAAGGTCTGGGACTGAGTCACTTCAAACTGCTCTTCTGAAACTCGGATACGATCATACTTATCATGGCTGGGATATCGTATATGAGAACCCCCCTGCCGCATCAAAGTGGGTTCAACTGTGCCGAAAGAAGTAGGTCATCATCCTTGGCTGCCTTATCTATTCGATCCCTTGTTGACTTTGTATCATATGGTTTGGACCTGTTGATGGAAATACGAACATCACCAAGGAGGACTTTGATGAAATTCTTGGCCATTGTGTCGCGGTCACAGATGCCGCAGCATCCGTCTTTGCTGCCGAACTCATTGCTGCATATCCTGATGCCAAGGTAGTCCTTAATTACCGCAAAGATTTGGACGCATGGCATCAAAGTGCCATCAAGACCTTGCTCAGTGTCTGGGACAGCTGGCTGATTTTTGCGCTTTCTTGCCTTGGAAAGGAGCTGTTCTGGGTGTGGCATGTTTATAGGCGCTTCATGTGGCCTGGTTTGTTCCGAGCTTTGGATGGCGACATTGACACGGGAATAGGAAGAAATGGAAAATGGGTTTACAAAGGTAAGATCTTTAAAGCTATGCAGAGAAGCTGCTAACTTTCATCTAGAACATTGCAACATGATCCGCGGCCTAGTCCCAAAAGAGCGACTTCTGGAGTGGACTGTTCAAGATGGCTGGGAACCCCTGTGCAAGTTCTTGGACAAGCCAGTTCCAGATGAACCGTTTCCTCATGCCAACAAAGCTTCCGGATGGGATGACCGAGTAGCTGAGACTAGTAAGAGATACACGTGGAGTGCTCTGCCGGGCTTGGCTATGGTGACTACTGTTACAGTTGGCTTGGGAGCGGTGGCATACAAGACTCTACTTTGAGACATCTTGAACGATTATCTATGCGGGATATCGGGGCCTCTTTGTTAATTCATGTCATATCTATTTTGAGAAACGCGTTAATGATTTGTTCAGGTTGAGATTATGTAATTCGTGGGTTTCTTTAAGCCGTCTATTTTCTTGTTCCTATTACAGAAGTGTCTCCATTTCGAACCATACCCCGAGGTAGTACGCAATATCTGGTTCAGTGTGACCTTATCTGATCGATGCCATGTTTATCTCCAAAACCAGGCTTACCACCAAGTGAACCGAAGATATCGCCAATGTAGTTTTGGGGAGCTATACCAGCCTCAAACCTGGTAGGCCACTCGTTCAGGATCCCCTCGATGACTTTGAAAGCTGTAAGATACAGATTGCGAGTTGAAGGCCCCAAGCCTCCCTTGTCCATGACAAAGGGAAGTTGATGAGGCTTGTCTTCATGACCGCGATCAAAGTTTGAAGCAGACCGAATAAGCAAGATGCGAGAAAAGTCGACTTTTCCTTGAAGTGCTGCGTTCAAAAGTCCTGCCAACAACGCGTTGTCCTCTTGTGCTGTCATGGTGTACTCGGCTTGTCCAGAAGTGTATACTTTAGCGACTCTCTCCATTGCCTCAGAGATACGATGGCCGTGCCAGAAAGTGTTTGAAGATAGAACGTCACCTTCGAGCACACTTGGCTCCTGCGTTGCTGTGTCGAAAATACCTTCAGGTGAGTTCTTCCACAAACCTCGGTTCTCAGCGGCCACTGGTGAATCTTGGAGACTTATGCCCTTGGCAACAGAAAAGGCATAGTCTCGAAGAGCACTGTTCAGCTCGAATACTTCAGATCCATGCACGATTCCAGGGAACTGATCGGGCTTGTCAGCTCCCATGGGAACATACCCGGATCCCCATTCTGAGGGAACTTCTCTTGCATCAAATTCAAGTTGAGTGTCGACTTGAACAGCAAACCGGGCAAACGCAACAGAACCAATAGTGGCTCTCTTAGGGTTGACGCCTGCGATACCAGTCAAGATAAAGTACGACTTTGTCAGATCGAAGATTGGCGACGTTAAGAGAGCGCTAATGGATAAGGATGCATTTATCACTGGTATCAAGTCATTAGATGTTCAGATTGGTTCTTCCAGAGTTCTTACAGGCTGTGCCAACAACCAAGAGTGCAACATCGCCATCTTCGGTGACATGTATGTCTTCGTAACCACGAGCCAGACCCGGAACGCGTATCTTTCGAGGAAATTGGAGAGCACTCGAAGGATCAAGCCAGTTCCTTGACTCTTCATAGAACTAATACTGATTAGAATGACCCAACGTCCTGTGGCAGAGTACTCATACCATGGCAATCAACAGAACTTTAGGTGAGATCTTCTCGCCTTGTGCCTGCGTGGCAGCAAGCCCTTGTTGGTTTAACTTCTGTTCACTCATGGTCTCTTATTGTTCACAGAGATGCAATCGTTAAAGATGGTTTCTAGAAACTGATTTGAGGTAATTAAACAAGACAAAGTGAGACCATCTAATCTCAAGCGGGGTCAGGGTGGCGTGACCCGTCACCAAGCCTACATTCTCTTATCTTGGATCCTAGCTCACAGCCGAGGCCCACGATATTTCCAAACTCGTATCATCATGTCAGACTCGGAAGTTTATCTCTGATATCAATGCATGAACAAACAATCCCGATATCAAGTCCACTCTTTGCACAAGAACCAGTACCACAGTCCTGCTACAAACAATATCGGACACCCCATAATAACAAGATTCATGCCTTGTTCCTTCCGTTTCTGTCTTTGAATAGCCTTTTGCTTTTGTCGGAAGTCTTTTGCTAAAGCAGAAAGTCGTTCTGTATTGGCAGCTAACTCTGCGCCGCTTGGTCTCTGCAAAACTCGCTCGAACAAGGAAAACGGATCAACCTTGGTTTTGTCCCGGGGAGTCGAGGGAACTTCAATTCCGTTCGCTTTTGCAATATTTGAGAGATGTGTCGCTGCGTCTTGTGACATGATGTTGTAGATACTAAGTTCTAGGCTTGGATAGTCTTTCAGGTGATGATTACAAATAGACGTGCATTATAAAAATGGCAGATGATGACTAGTCACTGGATGAGATAGAGAAAAAATCATATTGATTATCGCTGCCCAGGGTTATATCGATAGAAGAATCATAATATCTATCTGCCTTGTTTCAAGCCAAGGCAGACTCGGAGGCAAGCCATTTAGCTCGTGCAGCCGTGGGATAAAGAAGCATACTTGACTTGGCTAATAAGAAATGAAGATCATAACAAATACATCTGCTGTAAATCTGATCCATTAGTTACTTGTGACAATAGTCGTCTACTGATATCGGAGCATTCAAAGGGCGCACTTTACGGCATGAAGAGGTCTTGGTGGGGTTGAGTGCCGAGCCGAGCCGACTGGATTTGCCAATCGTGAGATGACAGTTAACGTTAGATTGAAGTCATTGAATCATACAAGCGGGGCAGTTAATAAGCAGCAACATAAATATAGTGGGAATTGCCTCAGCGATTGCCATTCCTCAGGAAAGATACTGTCACACAATTCAACTTCGAAACCATGACTTCAGAACTCGATGCTGGTTCACTCTTCAATGTCGATGGCGTTGTTGCAGTAGTGACAGGCGGTGCCACTGGTTAGTCAATCACAAGCATGGCAGCATCCAGTGATCAGTTCCTCGTGTAACTGACAACTTCCCAGGCATTGGCCTCATGTTTGTCAAGGCTCTGCTTCAGAATGGTGCTTCCAAGGTATACATCGCCGGTCGAAGAAAGGAAAAGCTGGATGAGGTAGTCAGCTCATTGGGCGATAGGGTCGTTGGAGTTCAATGCGACGTCACCTCCAAAGAGGATCTCCAGAATACCGTGTCACAGATCGAGAAGGATGCTGGATACATAAATCTTCTAGTTTGCAACAGTGGGATTGGAGGGCCCCAAGTCAAGCCTATTACTCCCGAAACTTCCTTGGAGGAATGGGCAAAGACCAACTTTGACACTGATTTCAACGCTTACGTCAACACGTTTGCCATCAACACTGCCTCGGTCTGGTTTACTAGCATGGCTTTCCTCGAGTTGCTGAAGAAGGGCAATGAAAAAGGCAACGTTGAACAGACGTCTCAAATTATTGTTACCAGCTCTATTGCTGCTTTCAATAAGAAGGCTCCCGGTGGTTGGGCTTATGGACAGTCCAAAGCAGGTGCTGTTCATGCAGCGAAGCAGCTCGCAGTTGCTCTGCCTCAATGGAACATTCGGTGAGTCTTTCATCTCAATTATGAGGCTCCAAAACTAATAGAGATAGTGCCAATTGTATCTGCCCAGGATGTAGGTTCAACTTTCCCTTCTGACCCAGAGAGCATCTTGTTCTAATATCTTCTGTCTAGTATTCCCCAGTGAAATGTCTGAACCAATTGTCAAGATGTACTCGGATGAATCTGGACAACCTGGAGCGATCCCGACATCAATTGCGCCACTTCGAAGAATGGGAGACGAGAAGGACATGTCGGGAACGTTTCTCTATCTTGCGTCGAGAGCAGGCGGATATTGCAATGGCGCAGTTATAGTGGTTGATGGCGGTCGTTTGGGCAACTTCCCCACTACAAATTAGATAACAAACTCTATGGAAGGATTGTATCCAATATAATCAAGAGCCTCACAGCTGATTGATAGTGTTTTATTGAACGAGTCATTCTTGATGACCCAAAAGAGTAATCGCCGAGATGCATACCAATCGAACCAAAGTCCCAAACTTACAGTGTAGGATTAGTGGGTATGGGATAAGTAATAGGTGCAATATTCGAATATCGTACAGTTGCTGCCTTGTACAATGCATTGCAGATGCATCTTTAGCTTTGCGTATCTGAAACAATCTCAAGCTTACTGAGGAATAATTGGTTCGTCAAGGTCGAGGACGCTGAGGTGAGACTGAGCTGGCGTTCGGCAATCAGCATTAGCGCGGCCGCCCACTAGGCTTCGCCACTGCTGCCTATTTTCCAGGGACTCACTGCTCTGGGGATGGATCCTCTATCACCGACAGTGCTGAGGTTACACTGTAAGGCGAGTGACTCAGCCCGGCAAAGAGGCTTGGTAGGATTCACGATGATAGACCAAGGGACTTAAGAGAGGGCCTCATTATTCTCAGGCAAGTTATACATCAAAAATGTAGTATAAGTAGGACATATCTAGAGAATAATCTCAATTCAAATCATCATCTTCCCATCATCCAACACCATAACATAAGCAACAATGGCTCGCACAACACAAGCCGCAAAGGCTAGACGTGCCAACCGTCGCGACAACAACACACGCCATACCAAGGAGAGCGATGCAGAGTACATGGCTCTCAAGAGAGAAGCAGAGCGACGAGAACGTATTCTTTCCGACCAGCGCCGAACTGCCTCTAAATGGCGACCCAAGATCCCACAAGTCCGAAAGGTCAACTTTGACAACTTCAAGAACAGATACCAAGACGTCGACCAACCTGATTATGCCGTCGATGTTCTTATGTCTGGTCCTGGTGCCCAAGCTCAAATTCGTCGCGAGCATGCTCTTCGAAGACGTGAGGAGATGGCCCGTCTCCGTATGAACTGGCTCAACTACCCCAGTCTTGGACTTCTTGAGGGGCCTCAGAAGAAGAAGGTCGATGCCTATGAGAAGGCCAAAAAGGACAAGAAGGGCGATTCTGCCCTTTCCTCGGATGCCGATATCCAGCGCATCCGTATCCAGTCACAGCCTATTCTTGGTCATTTGACTGCTCTCATGAATGATACCGAGAAGCGATCAGCTCCTCGAACTTTCATGCGCCCCTTCAAGGCCCTCGTCCACTTCCAGCCCAAGATGCGAGAGATTCTCAACACGCTTGAGGAGAAGTGGGCTGACTTTGAGGAAGTTGCGAGCGAAAGCTCTGACGCGGTCGAGCTTGATGTCGCCGATGCCGAGCCTGAGGTGATTGATGTCAAGGCTGACGGTGAAGGTGAAGGTGAAGGTGAAGGCGATGCGGACGACAAGGATGAGACAGAGTCTCTCCTGTCTGTTGACTCTAACGAAGATGAGGACTACGACAATCTCATGGATAGCCCCGAGGCTCTCCGCGACATGCGCTGCTATGTCGACTTCATCGACAAGGAAGTCGTTCCTCTCTACAACCGCTTCGATGACTCAGCTGCCGACCGTGTCAAATTCGACGATCTCTGGGCCCTATTCCGCACTGGCGATCTCATCTACATGCCTGCCTCTGGCGAGACCGGGGGACGATACCACGAAGTGTGGCGTGTGTACAGAACCCGCAGCCCAGAGCCTGAAACCTCTTATCCCACATCTGGCTGGGACTTCTTCGCCGATGAGCAGCAGATTGATGAGAACTCCAAGTTCAAGATCTCCGCTTACTACATTGATCACGACGGAAACAACTTTGGTGCCGTGCGTCGCACGTTCGAGATTGAGTCATTTGTTGGAGAGAGATCTATCGAGTCCCTCGAAGTCTTCCCCATCCGCTACCGCCATGACCACAAGCAACTGCTGAAGACACTGAAGGATCAAGGCCGACAGTTCGTCAACTTCATCGATGACCGTCATCAACAGTACAGTGCATGGACCTTGACAAGAAACCCTCCCTCCAATGGCACCGAGCCTGATGATGAGATCCTCGAAAGTGAGGGTTATGAGAAGATGCGCCATCCTGAGTTCGTGGAGAGTGATGTGATTGTCGATCTCACAGAGGCATACCAGAAGATGCCAGACTGGCGACCTCGCTTTCACAGACTCACCGTGAACAAGTCTTCGCGATGTGAGATCAAGGATGACGAGATGCCCATCCAACACTGGTTCAACGGCACAAGACACACTTTGGCTTACTCGCAAAACGAGATCATCCAGAACGCCGATGGTGTTGAGGCTCGACAGCGAAGGGACAACCTCGCTGTCGACGCTTTCCTTCGGGTTCGTGTCAAGGGAAGCCGAACCTTTGAGACCAACCCCAAGGCTCTCGAGCTCCGCGACGAGGACCTCGTTCTTCTTCCCAAGCGCATGTTCGCATACGCCCTGCGGGAGCGTCGCTTCCTGCCCATCGACCTCAACCTTCTCAAGCCCGTGCGACGTGAGCCTGGCGTCTTTGAGAACCTTCGCATCCAGACTGACTACAAGGATGTTGTTCGCGGTCTGGTCATGTCTCATTTCCAGAAAAAGGTCCTTGAGCGCAAGTATGCGGATGCTGCTGCTGAGGGACCTAGCCAGGATCTGATCCAAGGAAAGGGCCGAGGTCTCGTGGTCCTTCTGCATGGTGTTCCTGGTGTCGGCAAGACTGCTACGGCAGAGGCTGTCGCCATGGAGAATCGCAAGCCTCTGTTTGTCATCACTTGCGGTGATCTAGGTCTCACTCCTCATGCCGTTGAGAATGCTCTCAAGAATGTCTTCCGCCTCGCGCATCTCTGGGACTGCGTCCTTCTGCTTGACGAGGCCGACGTGTTCCTGACTCAGCGATCCAAGCAAGACATGAAGCGCAATGCTCTTGTCTCTGTTTTCCTCCGAGTTCTTGAGTACTACAACGGTCTCCTCTTCCTGACCACCAACCGAGTTGGCACCATTGACGAGGCCTTTAAGTCTCGTATCCATCTGTCTCTCTACTACCCTCCTCTTGACAAGACTCAAACCCGCGACATCTTCCGTCTCAACATCGGTAAGCTCAAGCAGATTGAGGCCGAACGCCACCGCATGACTGGCGAGCCCGCGTTGGTGATCAAGGAGAACGAGATCATCGACTTTGCTTCCAAGCACTACGAGGAGCTTGCCAGGTCAACTGGTTGCTGGAACGGACGACAGATCCGAAGCGCATTCCAGATTGCTTCCAGTCTTGCAATTCACAACCACGCGACGCAGGCTGAGCTTGCACTATCCCGTGGCCAGAGCCCTCCTGCGGCACCTGTTCTAGATAGGACTTGGTTCGAGAAGGTGCAGATGTCAACACAGAGCTTTGACAGGCACATGAAGAAGGAGGCTGGTAGCTACGATAACGAGATGCCTCTTCGAAGTACATTCCAAGAGAACAACTTTGACTGAGCAATTGCGATTGGGACATGAGTTGGGCATGGAGCAATGCATGGTTTTATGATTTAGTCTTTTCAGGGAACAATAACTCAGGTAGTTATCAGCTAGTTATGCACTATGACATTAAATACGACACTTCTTATGAGTATATTCAAGATCCAATGGTAGCACGTGAATGTTAAATATGGCGATCAGACCATTCCATGCTGAAAGGAGTTTCGAATACAACGTCGGCAAAGCTAATGTTGCTGGTCTTAATCAAAGCCTAATCCTTCGGGGGATTTTTGTGTCTCTAGGCTCCAAATTACAGGGGTTTCTCGTGCGTTTGGGCGATTTAATGCAATGATCTACAGTGGTGCGGGGTGTCTGGCACTGGAAATAGTATGATGAGTCTTGTGCTGCCGCTTGTAGACGTCATACGGTTAAGCTCTGCGTTAAGATGCTGGTTTGGTATGCGGGGAAGGAAACGTTCAAGGCATTATAAAAGGGACGAGTGGTCTCTCATTCGGTAGTCTTTTGATCATTGTGTAGCCCTCATCTAAAATCATGTTTTGGCTAAAGAGCGTGGTCTCCTTCGCGGGGCTTTGTTCGCTGTCATTCGTCTCTGCGCAGACAAAGTACAAGGTCCAGAAACCACCACTTGATACAGACTGGACTTACAAGGTTGGCACTAACCCATGGCCTGAACATCCACGACCACTGCTCAAACGCGAGGCATGGAAGAGCCTCAACGGTATCTGGACTTGGAGAGGCGATGGTGAATTGTCTGATCCACCGGAGGGGACTCTAGACCGTGAAGTGCTGGTCCCAGCTTGTATTGAAAGCGCCTTGTCGGGACTACAGATCCTTGATCAACGGGAATTCTGGTACCAGCGATCATTTGAAGTACCGGATGAATGGGAAGACAAGACCGTTTTGCTTCATTTTGAGGCTGTGGACTACAACTCGACTGTTTTTGTGAATGGTGAAGAGAAGGTGAATCACATTGGAGGGTATGATAGGTTCACCATTGACATTACCGACGATGTCAAGTTTGGAGAGTCGAATGAATTGTAAGTCATCTTGTCAGTCCACGCTTTAGGGCGTCCCCTAATACGTATATAGACTCGTCTTTGTGAGCGATCCGACAGATGATCAAGTCATTCCCATTGGCAAACAGACCCTGCGTCCAAGTCACATCTTCTATCGCTCTTGTTCCGGCATCTGGCAGCAAGTCTGGCTTGAAGCTGTTCCCAAAGACAACTACATCACTGAACTTGATGTAGCAGCTGGTGCAGACGGTAAAGGTGGGTGATGCCCAACTCTGCTCAACAATACACTGTACTAACTTCCTCTCAGTTGTCATTACGGTCCACACGTCAGGAGAGTCCAGCAAACCCGTTCAAGTCACCATTGGAGGAGAAGGCGGCACAAGCGTTGCCTCTCACAATGGCACCACAGACGAGGAGTTCAGTTTCACCGCAAAGTCGCCCAAGCTGTGGTGGCCCGATTCACCTACTCTCTACAACCTAACCGTAACACTCGGCAGTGGAGATGAAGTCCACAGCTACACAGGCTTCCGAACTATTTCGAAAGGCAAAGTAGAAAACGTCACACGACCGTTACTCAACGGTGAGTTTGTATTTCAATTCGGTACTCTTGATCAAGGGTACTGGCCTGATGGTTTGCACACGCCACCCAACCGAGAGGCGATGGTTTCTGATCTAAAGCTGTTGAAGAAGTTTGGCTTTAACATGGTGAGGAAGCATGTAAGTGCATTTATAATTTAAATTCGAAATCTCCACTGACTGCTCCAGATCAAATACGAACCTCATCTCTTTTACCAGGCATGCGACGAGCTCGGTCTTCTCGTTATTCAGGACATGCCAAGTCTGCCAGCAGACGGCAACCGCAAGCCTAATGATGCAGAGCAAGCCGAGTTCAAGCGACAGCTTGAGATTCTAGTCAATCAACACAAGAGTTATCCCTCAATCACAACCTGGGTAAGCTTAACATACATTCAATTGCAAGATTTGGGCTCTTTACTTACATCGACAGGTCATCTACAACGAAGGATGGGGCCAACGAGATGGTTCACCCGAGGAGGACCTTACACAGCTTGTCCGCAAGCTTGACAACTCGCGACTCATCAACTCTGTCAGCGGATGGGATGACCACGGCTATGGTGACTTCCATGTGAGTCAACCGTCCAGAAGCAAAGGCACAGACTAACATTTTCTAGGATAACCACAATTACGCTGCACCCCAGTGTGGTACGCCTTTTTACTCCCGGCCAAAGACGCCATATGATCCAGAACGCATCGGCATCGCTGGTGAATACGGCGGTATCGGCCATAACGTCTCAATTGAGCAGTAAGTACCTCCTCAATGTTCTGAATTTGTATCTCTCTGACTTTATCTCAGTCTTTGGAACGTCAAACAAGCCATCGACAGTATCCCGGAAACGTACGAGATCAACAAAGATCTTGATTCGTACAACTATCGGTCCGGTGTCTTGTTTCGAGATATCCGTGAGCAAACCCAGCGTTTCGCTTGTAGTGGCGCTGTATATACTCAGACCAGCGACGTTGAGGGTGAAGTCAATGGTTTGATCACGTATGACCGTCGCTTCGTGAGACCGGATGTTGAGAAGTGGCAGAGCGAGATCGCAAGCGTGTACCAGGCTGCTGCTTCGAGAGGTGGAATGGAGTTTGATGATGATGGACAGGGAAGGTCTGGGTCTCTACTAGACCTCTAGTGTAATTCAATACTCTTCGGCATTATTCGATAGTCTTTTAGCTTTAATTGCATCCGTTTGTATTCTTGAACGTCAAGCGACAGGCATTGAGTTGTGTCCTCATTTCAGACGTCTCAAGAATCTGCCCTCAACGCTCGCAATAGCCTACGGTCGCAAAACTCCAGTTTTACAAGAATCCTGGAATTTTGAACATAAATCGACACTTTATGTATAGTACATCAATTTGGGAAGAAACAAAAATGAACAAATCACTAGGTGTTTGTTGGTCACGAGATCAACAAGCAGCAGGGAATCTCTCAACCTCGCCACTCACCCAGCGTACGTCAGCCGCCCCCGAGGTCAATCATTCTTTATTCATTCTTCAAATCAACCACAATAACAACATAATTCTATCGAAACCCCTAATCTCAGATACTCGGGCAATACAAAAAATGTCGTCAAGCGCCAGCGCCGAGAAGCCTACAAGCACCCATGAGCGACCCATCACAACAGGTACGATCTCTACCTTTTTGTTTCACAGGGCTAACTGTTACAGCAGAAACCGACAAAGATGACGACTGGGAAATCGTGAATGAAAAGGAAAGCCAACTCTCAAAGGATCCAGTCAAGAAAGAGAGCGACTTGGAGAAGGGCACTGAAGAGTCTTCGAAAGAGATGACCGAGGAGGAACTCAAGAGAGAACTAACAAAGACAAAGTGGGCGGGCATGCAACAGCAGGCGGGCGGGGTATATCCTCATCGAGAGGTCAAAGTCCCAAGCTATCCGAAATTCATGGGAGATTGGTAACAGTCACAAAAGGCGACCAATGGACTGCTCGGCAAGTAGAAGAGTCCTGGGCAGAGTCCGGGGTTCTTTGCTGGTACATCAATCAGGCAACAACATACTGTTCACGAGGAGACGATTCGGAACGTGAAAACACTGGGTAGATCGTAATGAACAAGTTATACAAATGTTTCTGGCAATGCCATCTATTTATACCCAATCCATTCTTCCTCAACGCCAAAAAATACAAGGTGAAACCAACCATCCAACGCCTAACAATGATATGCAAGTCAAGTCATTAAGGAGGTGTCAAGGGCATCTTTTCCTTGAGCTTGAATTCCGCGTATGGCCCAAATCGCCATCGCTTACTGTTCTCCTCCACCCACCAGCGAGCTATAGAAGCCCCTTCTTGTACCCAGTTTTCTACTGCGTGAATCTCCTCAGGTGACAAGACATGTTGTCTATGAAGCTCATGTCTGATACTATCAATGAAGGATCCAAACTCGAAGCCTTGGATAGAGTACTCTTCACGTGGATCGTTGGTGAGGTTGGTGAAGCGCCATTCAATGTTGTCGATGAGAGGTACAACGAGGTGACGTTCGGGGTAGCGGGCGTCGCGACCGGTTACCATGGCACGGCCAGGGTTGACGACTGTGAACTGCCAATTTCCCTGACCGGTGGTTTCGTTCTGGTTTATCTGCGGGCGAATGAGGGACTGTCCCTCGTAGTTGCGCATCAGATCAGAGGCAACCTGTTGGCTACCATTGTTTAAAGAGCCTGTCTCGACAAGGAGGTCAAGGATCGTGGGTAAAATCTGCGACGAGTGTACTGCATCGTGGACGTCGAAAGCCGGCAGCAATGGATGCGAAAGCACCAAAGGAACGTGATCGACGCCGATGTTCGGATTGTAATACGGCGAAACAATGCCATTTTCAGGCATCGAAAGACCGTGGTCGCCGACAAACACCATCAAAGTCTCGTTGGCAACACCTTGCTCATCCAGCAGATTCAGAACCTTGCGCAGCCATCTGTCGTCGTAATTTTCGGTGTTGATGTAATGCGATAGCATGTCGAGACCGTTCGCAACTGGGACGTACTTTTCCTTCTCGGGCAACTTGAAGGCGTGATGGCTTGTGCTGGTAATGTGCGAGAGGAAAACACGCTCGTTCTTTTCCTTTGCCGAGACAAAGGCATCGCGAATATAATCTTCGAGGGGATCCTCCTCGAAAGCGAAGGCATTAATGTTGGGCAGTGTGACGCGGCCGTGAGTCGCATTGTCCGATTGCAGGTACTCTCGATTGATGATGTGTTCATCAGGGAATCCGATGCCAGCTATCATTTCGTACTGCTTGTCGTACGCCATGGTAGAGGCCTGGTAGAAGTAGGATTGCCAATGTGACCCATTGTAGGCATGTGATTCGTCACCTGCGGAAGCGCTCACCTGGTTCATGGCATTGAAGATTTGTGGCAGACAGGGTTGGTATAGGTGGTGTTTGTAATCAAGGTTGAAGTCTGCCAGTAGAGGTGAAATGCCACAAAGCGTGCCTTCCAAGCTCTTGAGTGTATATGTCGCTGTCGTGTGGGCGTTGGTGAAGCGAACGCCGCCTCGCTTCACTTGGTCCGACTTCAAGTGGTTGAAGCCATCATCGTAGTCGCCGGTGATGAAGTTCGCAGTCGGGGTCAAAGTCGCGAGTCGGCGCATGGCATCCGGTGGAAGGCCGTCTTCGCCATAGCTTTCGACCAATTTATCCCACACTACAGTGTCCTTCTTGAGAGGGAAGACATCGTTGCGGGTGCTTTCGAGGAAGAATAGGAGAACGTGCCGGACGGGGACATCTTGTAGCTTGTTTCGTAGTTCGGAAATGACATCTTTGTCGAGGTTCGAGATTCTAAGGGGATCGGCGTCTGCATTGTAATGGTCTTTGCCATCATACCAGTCCTCAAAGCCGGACAACTTTGTGTCCTCAGGCAGCCATTCCATGTTTGGTGGCATGCTGAGAGCTGACTTTTTGTCCCATGACCGGTGGATACCAACGTCGAGAATCTGAGGCAGGTTTTGTAGGACAGGCGACGAGGCGGAAAGGTCGACGAAAGGCATCAATGCGGGCGTCCACGAAAGGAATATTAGGGATCGGTCGATCGGTCGTTCGTATGATGCATAAATGAGCATTAGGACAATGCAGGCAATTGCTGTGTAGACGATCATGTTGGTGACCACCTTGCAGGCAAAACGCGGCACCGACCGTCGTATTTCGGCATCCCACTCGACGATATCGTCGTACTCATCGCTGGTACGTTTGACTTGTTCCTCGATGTCCAGCTGCGGAACCTGGGAGTAATTGCTCTTGCGCAAGACGTGTCGGCGGAACAGATGCCATGTTGTAGCAAAGGGCCAATTGACGACGTCTGCGAAGTAGCCATACAGAGTGTAGCAGATATTCTGGAACAGCCATGCCGAGACAAAGGTCGCGCAAAGGACCATAACAAACGACAGACTTCCCGAGAGTATTAGGGCTCGTGACGAGGGATCGGTAGGTAGGGAAACGTTTCGGAGATGGATTTCGGAGCCGGCGGCGAGGTAGAACGAGACGAAGATGATGCTGAAGGCAGCATTGTAGAACATGAATAGGCCATTGCAGAGGGTTATGAGGACGCGCAGTAGGAACGGTAGGCCGGTGACCCAGTGGTCAAGAAGAAGTCGGATAAAGGTGAGGACGGCGATGTCCTGGGCGACGAAGGAATAACCCCATTCTCTCAGGAGGATAGGATGAACGGCTGTGTGATGGTCATGGATGTGAATGATCTTGGCACTCCACACGGCCAAGGCTGTGAAGGTGAAGAAGAATCGACGGTTGGCGAAGCGCAAGATGGCGCTGGAGAGGCAACGTGCCACGGCCTTGGCAGGCGCAGGTATATTCATAGTGAATCAAAGGGTGTATCGTCGAAGTAGTAGAGTCGGAGATGAGAAGAGACAGCCGTAGGGCTGTTGGCGGTTTCCTTTGGCGCAAAGGCCGAGGAAGGCAGTGATGGAGAAATTACCCAGTTGATGGTCGCAAGCCAGTGCGAAACATGACAGACAGTCCAAAAAGGGGTCTTTTTTTTGGTTCCCGTAAAACAAGCTTTGGCATAAGCAATAATGCCAAGATGTTGAAAGAGTGAATAAAAATGGGAAGGGGTTCTATCACAATTCCATAGAAACGAAACAGGGCCCACGTAAGCTATATGTATCCATACAATTACATTTTTTAGTCAAAAAGAGGCGCTGTCATGCTCTGTTTTACGTTATTTCCATTGCCCGGACGGCATTGAAGATCAATTTGCTATTGCTGTTCCTGGCGGGGTACAGTAGATTGAAGGAAGCCTCGTTTCGTCGCTCCAGGTTATTCAGGGGTCTAGATCCGTTATGACGGGCCGGGTAAGATGATGATTGGGGCTGCCTGGTCATTCTTCCAGGGGCTCAGCGACGCCAAAGAGGGGCACAAAGCCAAGAAAGAAGTCTAGAATACGCCCGGGCGGTAAGCTCTAGCTTTTTCAGTGATGATTCTGTTAATTCAGCCCTGTGCTATTCCCTCGACAAAAATTAAAATGTGATACAAATTCTGGCGTCAATCAGCTAGTTGTCGCAGTCTTTTCTCCTGAGTTTTCCATTTTGCAGCATTGAAGCAAACGATGATCTTCTCCACTACATTACCCAGGCAGTGTCAACTGACTCGATGAATCGGTCACCACTACATTAGGCTATTGCCGAATATGCACTTTTTTACATTAAAGTGAACCCAAATCACAATGATGAATGTGCCGCTGTCATCAGATGATACCTACAAACACTGCCACAGTTCCTCAAAACTTCTCTGCTAACTCACCGCAGCCCGTACTGGCACTTGACTCCGCCCCCAATTTGAAAGATCGTGCGTCTACCAATGGAAGCCAACAGGTCGTAAAGAGTTATGGGACCCCGGAGACTCCTGGATCTGCTAACGGATACTTGAACACTCGGCTGATGGCTGCGAGTCGCAAAGTATTTTTTATCATCGGCCATTCCAATTGAATGGAATTGTCTTCCGCCATAAATTGCACTTTTGCGTATTCTCCACTGGCAAATAATGCCGAGTAGAATATATTTCCACATGATGACTTCAAAGAAATCGAGTGGAAGAGCCGGAGCATATGGCGTAGATAGCAACTCTAAATACGTTGGTTAGCAACGGCTTCGCCAGCAAATTGACATCCAAACACGATTCTCAACAGAGCGATCGTGAACCCGCAAAAATGGTTGGTAAACAAAGTATTCTTGAAAAAGGGCCGACCTTCATTTGCGCCTCTTAATCTACACATCCAAATCCATTATAAAAAATAAAAAGAGAAAGATAGCTTCCCACATGCGCGAGTTCTAGGAATTACGAAGGTGTAGGGTAAACTCCAACTCACCAACGTCATTACCATAGAGCGTTCGAGTTACCTACTCTGAGAAAGACAAAAAGCTCAAAGATGTTTGAGGAAAACGCAGAGGATCTCTATGTGGATTGCGAATAAGCTGCCTATATCTTTTAGACGAAACACTGATCATATTCTGGATTCCAAAGAGTTGGATGAGATGGGACGACCTCAGGCTTGGCGGGTTCCTCGCTAATCCCGCCAATATGCAATTAACCATCATCCAGCTCCTGTCCAGGCGTCTTACTCCCTGGAGATGTCACTGACTATCAACACAAAGACACAAACAACATGGACACGAAACCAGACTTTGTACTTATGTACACTCAAGAACTAGCAAAGTAACAATTGCCCCGTCAGTTAGCTGTTAGTTGGTAATTCCAGACACTGATGAGAACCAGGTCAAGCAAACCAAAGATTCCTCGTACAAGTACAAACAAAGTCCGGACAGGCTGCATCACTTGTAAGAAGCGTCACGTCAAATGTGACGAAGCCAAACCTCAATGTGGTAACTGTACCAGAAATCGACGGAAATGTGAAGGCTACATCATACCGACTAAGAAAAGAAATGCATCGCCTCCTCAAATTCAATGGGACTCGAAACAAGTTACTCGCGTCGCACCTTTGAAGGCTCAGCTGCATCTCGTTCATGATTGTCTGGACTTTAGAGACGCTGATAGCGTGATTTACTTTGATGAATTTGTGGGAGTTGTGCAGAGTCCATGGATTGCCGCTGGCTTCAATAATGACCTGTGGGCTGTGACATTACCACAGGTTGCTCGCACAAACGACGTGGTACGGCACGCTGCTATTGCTATCGGAGCTTTGAGCAAGTGGTTTACCAAGAATCACCATGGGACACTCGGATCATCGCAGATTATTGAGAGTGAAATTGCACAGAACGACCCAGATTATCGAAATGCTGTTGCTCATTACTGCCATGCCTTGAGGTTACAGAGTCAACAGCCCTGTATGCAAGATGCAGTGTTTCTTTCAATCCTGTTCCTCTGTTTCGAGATCCTGCGCGGTAACAGGAAAGCCGCCTTGGACCACATCAACCATGGCTTAGCCATGCTACTTGCCCTGGTGACAGACCCGGATTCACGACTGATGACATCCGTGGCCCCTAACCCGAAGCCTCTCATTGCAGTGGTGGCAGACATCTTTATCCACTTACTGCCTCAGATTCGGTTGGTTCTACAAGGAAGTGTTGGCCAAAGTCCAGCAGTGCCCAACTTTGCAAAAGGCCTAAGAGCTAAACAGGAGACGGTCGAGTCCTTCATGAGACTGGTTGGTGACTTGCCCCGATCTTATCGTCCTGCCGACAAGCTACCGCCCGTGCTCGACAGCCTGGACGAATTTGAGAGATATTGGATGACAGGTCGAAACGCAAAACTGGCTGTAGGTCCTCTGTTGATGGAGGCTGTCCACAAGTCTGGGGCTTTGGACTCGACTGATCCCAGCATGATGTCGGAATTGTGGAAGCAAATCATGGCCGACCCTCGCATTCAAGAGATTTGCGAAGCTTCCGCGAAAGAACTACATGCCCTTGAAGCTGCCTTTATGCCACTGTTCAATCGTGCCATCATGTCTGACCCTGGATCAATTGAATACATGAGGGCTATTCATCTGCGCCTACACTATTTGGCCACGTGTACATTTGAGGATCTCACGCACTTTCACGACCCTGCACCAGTTCAGGCCAAGACGCCACTGTTTCGCGAGTATCTATCCCTGGCAGACATAAGTCTACGAACAGCAAAGCAAGGCTTGAAAAGCTCAGCGCATCACCTGTCTCTACAGTGCAGCGTAGCTTTACACCTGTTCCTCATCTCGATGTTCTGTCGAGATGCCTTACTGCGGGACGAAGCCATGTGGATGTTGAAAGATTACCCCGGGCAGGATGGCATATGGAATGCGCGCTCACTGTATGTGCTGGCTCTCAAGAACAGAAGCGTGGAGCGCATCAATGCTGTAGACGGTGCACTTTCAGAGCAGTGGCGTCGTCTTTTACGAAGAGAATACTTGTTCGAAGAAGGTGGTCAACGGATTGTGTTCTGCTTTTTGGACAAAGATCCAGTGAATGGGGAATGGAGGCTAGTGGAAGAGACTGCTGAAGTTAGGGGTGATCTCGATAGGGTTCAGTGGCACAGAAGGCCTCTGTCGGCAGCCGGGAAGCCTTTGATGGGGGATGTGATAACGCTTTGGCCAGAACTGACGAAGTGAGGGAGGCGATCGAGTTGATCAGGCAGCCGAGATGAGAGATAGTGCGGCTGCAAGATGAAGTGCGTATATCAGCAATCTCATCTCTGCGTTTCTGACAGTGTCAGATGGTGATTTGCCATTGGATACTGGCATCAAAAAGGATCTCCACCCTGAAAGATGCGAGAAAAGTGGAACTCGTAAACATCCAAAAACGGTAATCGTCTTTACGAGCCGTGCACAAGAGAAGAGCATCAAGAGAGAACCAAGTCAAGATGTGAGACGACAAGAGGGCCATAAAGTCTCGGGCTTTGGCTGTTGTTTATTCTCGCACTCACTCAATAGACACACTCATTTCTCTTGCGCCCTTTCTTTCCAATTCATTATTCCTTTTGGCGGTGACTTACTCCTTCGTTGCGCCTCTCACTGCCACCTTGAATTGGTGCACTTACTGCTGGATCACTCAAGATCGACAACCACATACCTAGGTAACGTATTGATAACTCCTCTATTCATGACCCAAATCACATTCTAACATGTTGCCAATTCAGATCCTAATAACCCCATCTTGCCTCCCCAATGGCTGCCGATACGAACCCTCCCAATGAAAACGGCGGAGAACAAGAGAAACCCCCTTCTGTAACCGACAACAACGAGCGACCACAAAGAACACCCAAAGTCTCCGACTACCTTCGAGTGTTCAACTACGCTACAAAATGGGACTTTTTCATTTATGCTCTAGCCTCAGTCGCTTCAATCGGCGCTGGAATTACCATGCCTTTGATGAACATCATCTTTGGTCAACTTGTCAATCAGTTCACAGTGTTCTCCCAGCCCGGCACCGGAATCTCCTCTGAAGGCTTTCGAGATATCTTGGACAAACAAGTACTGTACATAGTGGGCCTCTTCATCGGTCGCTGGGGTCTCAATACCATCAACAAGTACTGCTTCCGGATGATTGGTATCCGACTGTCATCTGCCATTCGTCTTCATTACCTTGAATCCCTGTTCTCACAGTCCATCCATGTTATTGACTCGATGCCAGCTGGTGCGCCAGCGACCGCCATCACCTCTACGTCCAACACCCTTCAAGTTGGCATCTCAGAGCGCTTGGGCACCTTCTTGGAGTATAATGGCACAATTTGGGCCTCAATCATCGTCGCATTCGTTTGGAGCTGGGACATCACTCTGGTCACGGCAAGCATAATACTATACATGGCCACTGTCCTGTCAATCACGATGCCCATTCTGGTCAAGGGCCAGACTGCGACCGTGGCTGCAGATGCTCAAGGTATAGCTATTGCGAGCGAAGCGTTGCAGGGCATCCGTCTTGTCACAGCCTGTGGTGCACAGTCTCGAGTCGTGTCGCGATACCAGGAATGGGTCCGAAAAGCTATGGTACAAGGCCAGAACATCGCGCCCTTCACTGGCATGCATCTTGGCTTGATAGTAAGTCTCTCAATATCCTCCCTATCAACGCCTTCAATGCTAATAGGCAGTAGTTCTTCGGTGTCTTTGGCGCATTCGGCCTGTCCTTCTGGTACGGTACCAAGCGATACGTTGACGGCGCGATCGACAACCCTGGAGTTATCATCATTGTACTCATGTCAGTCATGTTGATTATCACGTCTTTAGAGCGTGTCGCGACACCTCTTATGGCTATTAGCAAAGCCATGATCGCCGCCTGCGAGTTTTTCACTGTTATTGATGCCCCGCTACCTGCCTCCGGTTCCCTCAAGCCAGATATCACATCATGCGACATTGGTTTTGATGGTGTTACCTTTGAGTATCCAAGCCGCCCTGGTGTTTGTGTTCTTGATGATTTGAACCTCTGCATCCGCTCTGGACAAAACACGGCCATTGTCGGACCATCAGGCTCTGGTAAAAGCACCATTATCGGGCTGCTAGAACGCTGGTACTCCCTGAAGGAACATCACATCCTCCCTCAGGTCGTCCAAGCGGCACCGAAACAAAAGGCCGATGAAAGCACTGAAGATATGTCTGAAAAGGCTGTCGAATCTTCTGTAAATGTCACGCTGGCCGGTACGATCTCAATTTCGGGTCACAATATTGAGGATCTTGATCTCAAATGGTGGCGATCGCAAATTGGACTGGTCCAGCAGGAGCCTTTTCTTTTCAACAACACCATCTTCCACAATGTTGCTCATGGTCTTATCGGTTCTGAATGGCAAGACGAATCCGAAGTTAAAAAGCGGGAACTCGTAAGCCAAGCATGCAAGGAAGCATACGCGGACGAATTCATCAATCGGCTCCCCGATGTAAGTCATCACCCGACTCTCCTTCAGAACACCAATACTAATAATTGTGTCTAGGGTTATGACACTCGTGTCGGCGACGGTGGAGCAAAGCTCTCAGGTGGTCAAAAGCAACGTTTAGCGATCGCTAGAAGCATCATCAAGCAACCCCGTATCATCATCCTCGACGAGGCGACCAGCGCAATTGATGCGAAGAGTGAGAAGATCGTCCAAGCCGCTCTCGACAGAGTTACTCAGGGCCGCACAACCATCACCATTGCTCATCGCCTCTCTACGATCAAGAAGGCGGACAACATTATTGTTTTGCAAAAAGGCAAGGTGGTTGAGCAGGGCGCCCACGCAGATCTCATTGCCAAGGCGGGGGTATACTCTGCTTTGGTTGGAGCACAGGCTCTTCGGGTCGCTGAACAAACGGAGGACACTACCACTGTGTCCGATGCTGAGAAGATTGAGCAGAGCTCCGAGCTAGAGGCCACCAAAATGACTAGTTCGGTGTCTTCTGAAGACGAAGGCGGTGGTGTTGGTAAGCCTCGAGGTTTCTTCCAGAGCTTTGGCCGACTTCTCCATGAACAGCGTGGGAAATGGCCCAACTATTTGGGTATCGTCTTGTCTTCCATGGCTGTTGCTGTCGCAACACCTCTCCAAGCTTGGCTGTTTGCCAAGGCCATCGGAGTGTTTCTTTTCCAAGGCGACGAACTCAAAAGTGAGAGTGACTTCTTGGGCCTCATGTGGCTGGCTCTCGCTGGAGGCGTTGCCCTTTCGTATTTCTGCGAAGGCTGGATCGGTCTTCGCACCCAGTATTACATCAGCGCCGTCTACAAATCGCAGTACCTGAACGATATGCTATACCAGAAGATGGCCTTCTTTGACCAAGAGGAGAATTCCCATGGTACATTGAGTTCCAGAGTTTCGGGCGATGCGAAGCAGCTGGAAGAGCTTCTTGGCCTCAATCTTGCACTCATGATCTCCTCCATGTTCAATGTCATCGGCTGTATGGCTATATCTGTCGCCTTTGGCTGGAAGCTCGGCTTGATTTGCATGTCTGTAGCTCTACCGGCCATGCTAGCTGCAGGCCGTTGGAAGCTCAAACACGAAGTTCACTTTGACAAGATGAACTCAGCTGTTTTTATGGAAAGCTCACAATTCGCGACCGAAGCAATCGAGGCAGTTCGGACCGTCTCTTCGCTTACAATGGAAGACTCGATCAACGGACGATATCGTGACTTGTTGGATGGCCATGTCAAAGCGGCAAACCGCAAAGCTCAATGGACTTCGGCGATCTTTGGCCTCGCAGACAGTATTAGCCTTGGCGTTCAAGCGTTGCTTCTGTGGTATGGAGGCACTCTTTTAGCCAGTGGTGAGTACTCGATGGAGGCTTTCTTTGTATGCTTTATGGCTGTAATTCAGGGCGCTGAGGCTGGGAGTATGGGGCTCGCCCTGGCGCCCAGCGTCGTGCAAGTTACAGCTTCTGCGAACCGAATTTTGGATGTGCAAAGGTCTGTAGATCCTGGTCATCTGGACACGACTATGCAACACTGTGCTGGCACAGACACTGAAGGGGGCGTGAAAATAGAGCTACGGGATGTCTCGTTCAAGTATCCTACTAGGGACGCTTCCGTTTTTGACCATTTGAGTCTCACCATTGAGAAGGGCCAATACGCTGCATTTGTTGGGGCATCTGGATGCGGTAAAACTACAGTAATATCCCTTCTCGAACGTTTTTATGATGTCCAACCCGGTAACGGAGCAATTCTATGCGGAGGCCAAGACATCAAGGACAGCAACGTCTTCGAGCATCGAGAGAATATTTCGCTTGTATCTCAAGAATCCGCCATGTTCCGAGGCTCAGTCCGTGATAACATCCTTTTTGGAATCTCTGATCCGGACTCTGTTTCCGACGACAGGATTCATCAAGTTTGTCGCGACACCTTCATCCACGACTTTATAATTTCTCTTCCCGAAGGGTATAACACTGACGTCGGTCACAGAGGTGTCTCGATGTCGGGCGGTCAGAAACAACGAATTGCTATTGCGCGTGCCCTGATTCGAGATCCAAAACTCTTGCTTTTGGACGAAGCGACATCGGCTCTCGACTCGGAATCTGAGAAGGTGGTTGCAGCTGCGATTGATCAAGCGAGTAGCGGGAGAACAGTCATCTCTGTGGCTCATCGGTTGTCGACCATCCAGAATGCCGATGTCATCTTCGTTTTTGATGATGGGAAAGTGATAGAGAAGGGGACGCATACTGAGCTTGTCAACAAACATGGTATTTATTGGGAAATGGTAAGTTACGCAATTTAACAACACCAGTCCCTCGGAAATAGGTCGCTAACTCTTTTGCAGTGTCAGAGCCAGGCTCTGGATCGATGATTGCAGCTCACGTCTCATACATATACCAGCACATGTCATGGCTCAATCTCTCATTTGTATCTTATATTCAACTTCTCTTGTCTTTTCAGTATTTATTTTCCCTTGTTTTTACCATTTTCTTCTCAATATAGACCGTCATGGTACTCCTGCTTTAACTTTAGAATTGTTTTGCGTCGTGGAAAGAGGATTCCTCGGGAGGAAACATCTGACTACTTAAAATACGACAGATCCGATCAACGGAATTAATTAATTTATACAACTTTAACTGTTCCTTTTTTCTTTCTTTTTTTTAAAATTATATATCTGACATTTAATACCTTCGCCGGTTAAGCGGTTGAGCGGTTATATCTCCCTGTTATCTAAGCGCTACTCAGCGCCTGGAAAGAGAATGCGAATCCGGTGGTGAAGGCAAGATACCTAATTTACAAACGTAGGTGGCGTTCGGGCGTATGGCATTCAACCCAGGAATAACCCCTGTCGTAATACCACCTAAAAGTCCTCGCTGCAACATGGCATCATGGATAAAACACAGCGCTTGCTCAGCCCTACTCCACGGCAGCGATCGACCACTGTACACAGCCGGCAGAGACAGAGGCTTAGGCCGCCAAGTTGAAGTCCGTTGGACTACGTCTTTTCTTCTGAAAGGATGACTCCAACAACGTATCTTTAACAGCGACTAGATACCCCACAAGAAGAGATTGCTTGAAAGCTAGTAGAGAGCCTTGCGTACTCGAGGAATATCTTATACCTCTTCTGTACTTCGTGCTTACGGCCTGAAACGGTCTCATGCAGCGCGATTGTCATGTCAGCTTCCCCACCCGAATTTGCTCATTTCTGACACTTGTTTTTAAACAAGCAATTGTCCATCTTCGAGATTAAGCTTTTGGCTTTTTTTTTCTGATACTGTGTTTGTATATTCATCTATAAAAATGTCAGAAAAACAGCCTATCAGGCGATGTGTTGTTCTGGTGGATGGATGTGAATCGCGCGAGACAAAGAGTGAGTGCGTTAACTATTACACTAAGCAGCGACTAATTATTGCAGACGACACAAATTCTTCCACCATTGCAAGGATCAAAGAGCTAACCTACGATGGACTGATCGAGTCAAAAGGATATACCATCGCTCAAGCACGAAAGTTCTATGTTGCTCCAAATAATGCCACAAAGTTGAGTGATCGTTTCAGATCGAGGCCAACAAGCGACGAGTCAGATGCTCTAATTAAGAACATTGTGAGGGACATCTGCCTCACACTAGAACGACCTCAAGATGAACTCTGGCTCTACGGTTCAGGTCATGGAGCCTTCATCGCTCGAGCTGTTGCCGGTATCGTGCATCGACTGGGCTTGCCAAAGCCTGAAGACTTTGACGACCTCTTTGAGGCGAGTATTGCTCTTCTTAAAGCCCAGGCCAATGACGACTTCAAAAAAGGCCCTGAACTCCTTCAAAAGATCAAGAGCGGAGCTGCCGCACCTCCACGGATACCATTCGTTAGTTTGTTTGATACCACAAGCTACAGCTCAAAAACAGCATACGACATCTCGTTCAATTCATCAATCGAAGTTGTTCGTCACGCACTAGCAATCAACGAGAACCACTCCAACAAAACACCAGAAATCTTTCAAATTCCAGAAGATGCGGATATGACACATCGATCGCTCATCCAGGCCTGGTTCTTTGGTACCCATCAAGACATGGTGGGCGGCACAGCTCACGATGGGTTGTCTCTGTACCCGTTGCAGTGGATGGTTCTGGAGAGCATCTACTTAGGACTCAGGCTCAACAGTACGGGGGATTCTAAGACCAGCCAGAATCATAACCCTATGTTATTGGTGTTCCCCCAGTATGCTGGAAGTTTGCCGTCGCTGGACGGCTCAGAAGATATTGAGTGGCGTCTTCAGTACACAAACGGACTTCGAACCTGCATGTTTGACCTTCAGGCTGCTCATGGAAAGAAGTCGGCTACGGGAGTTGAGATGCACTCTATCAAACTGGACACAGACTGTTACAAACGCCCTGCGAACCGAAAGGTATTTGGGTCTGATGGTACTTTGAAAGGATGGTGTGATGTTGGTAAGGATCGATGACTCGTCTTGACAACATGGACATTGCTAATACGCTTTAGGACCATACGGAAACATGCTTCACCCCTCATTATTCTGCATTCTCGATAGATATCCACGACATAACGACCTTAACAACTTCAAGGTTCTCAAGAAGCCGATTTCTGATTTCCAAGACGCACACCTCGTTGCAGAAGAAGAAGGACCAGCTCCATGGCTCAAAGACATGCAACTCGAAGCAAGTGGAGTCAAAGCCTTTCGGATTCTGGTCTGTGGAAAAACAGGTGTTGGGAAGTCGACTTTGATCAACAAGGTCTTTGGTGTCGAGATGACCGACGAGTCACAGTCATATGAACAAGGAGTTCACGATATTAACGTTGCTTTTGAGTCTCCGAAGCATCCGGGGCTTTTGATCCATGATTCTAGAGGTTGGCAGGCAGGTAGCGATACAGAGTTGGACTTGATTGCAAAGTTTCTCAGACACAGGGCATACCAAGAAGATCCAGCAGAAGCTCTTCACGTTATTTGGTAGGTTGATTTATCTTCATCGAAGCCACAAACTTACCATAGTTAGGTTCTGTGTTGATTCAGATGTCGCTCGTATTGAAGAAGCCGACAAGCGAACATTCGCCACTATCGCTCAATACTCGCATCAAGTCCCCGTTTTCGTCGTCGGGACAAAAAAGGATAAACTCACAGCTCAGCGCTACAGGGATCATCTAGACCAACTCATGGAGAAGATGGATGACTACAAAGAAGCGAAAAAGATTGCTGAGGCAAAAGCCAACGAGAAAGCTGAGGAGCAATTCGCCGAGTTGAGAAACCAACTCTCTCAGATCGACCACTACAAGGCCGATGGCTTTTGCTGTCTGTCTAAGAGTGAGTAGCCCGTCGGCTTCAAACAGCTTGTACTGACAGCTTTAAGATGACGACGCCGGAGTTAAAGACCTCCTCTCCCAAACCCTCGACCTCATCGTCGACGAACGTGTACGTCTCTTCTGTGTTGCCGCTCAAGTCGTTGATGTTGAACAGAAGATCAACTCAGCGATAACAGAGTGTATGAGACTAGGTACACATGCTATTCGCACCGCTGCCGTTCCCCTTCCATGTTCAGGCATTATCGGAACACCAACTGTGTCACGACTGATCTGCGAACATGTGCTTCAGTGTTTTGGCTTCCCAAAGACTGCCCCCGCTGAAATTGAGAAAATCATGACAGATATAGTTATGAGCAATTTTAAAGACTTCATGAAGGTCTCGCTATCTCAATTCGCGGCGATGAGTGCTGTTGCAGTGGGTGCTGCGATCCCAACAATGGGTATCGGTCTTATTGTCGGCGCGGCCAATTCTCTCTTTTCTCTTCCTCCAACTGCGAGGATGCTGCTTAAGTGTTCGTGCGACATGATTCTGATTCTCGAGCGGTCTTTTCGATACGGCGGAAAGTACGTTTCTACCAAACAAATAGAAGATGCGGCCAAATATTACGCTAAAGAGATGATCACGACATTTAATGGCAAAGAGAAACGTCTACAACAGCAGGTCCACGATGAGATTGATCACCTCATCCCACTAAAGAAGGTCAATGTGGGATTCAAGTTTAACAAGCTGAGATCATCAGTGGAAGAGGTCGTGTACCGCAACAGATTCGGTAATCCTCCTGACTATTCGTCAATAAGGAGCCCCTCTGTCGTTGGTTCGGACATTGATTCTAATAGGCCTGTCGAACTGGACGCTGGGCCTGTCATCTCTGAATTACCATCTGGTGAAGAAGTCAACTTATCAAGTCTGTCAAAGTCTGAAGAGAAGCCACCGATGGAACTTGACTCGACCGAGATTCACTCAAAAGACAACCCTCGACCAACAAGTACAAATTTATCTGGGCCTGCAGCGACAGGCCCATCACTAGCCAATAGGCTTGTTGAGCTTCATGTGCAACCGCCTGAGCTAGAAGGTAACGTCCCGAGCGATGTCGATTCGACTAGAGGTCTACTAGAAGTTCCGCAAATGGCAGAAAGGAGTAAATCAGACTCGTCTAGTTCTCGGTGGACAAGTAAGCTGTCGTGGAAGCTGAGCCGGAAATCGAAGACTTTGAAGCAATGAGGGATTCTAAGTTGTGTTTGTTTATTGATCAAGTAATAGATACCAAGTCCATAGAAATCTGTGTAATTATAATTCGTTCTTCTTCTTTTCACATCACAATGCTACCCAAGAATTTTCTCTCGGCTGTTCGTGAATGCAAAGAGCATGAACATGCCCGAGTACATACATATGCTTGTCCACCAATTTTCATTCAAAATTTATCCCTTAGGTTGTTCTGGGTCCGCAATGTATATTTATTTATACATAAATCCATATCTTCCCTGCTCGAGATTCAACTCATTCCACTCACGCATCCTCCCCAGCTCAAAACCATGCGTATCCGCGATAGCCAGGTCCAGGTTTTCTCTCACAGGATGCAGCTTTTCAGGTGCCCCTTGGAGAAAATACCAAGTTATTTGTAGGGGATATATCAATAGCAACGCCAAGTTTGCCGTGTCTCCGCCTCGTAGAGCCCATGTTGAGAAGCGACATATTTCCAGTGTCAGAAACTCTATTCTAGCGGGGTCCACGTTATAATGGTTGTGATCGGGTATAATGTTAATCTTTAGGCAGTCGCATGGCTGGATGAGACAAAGAAGTATCGCGTAACAGACGGCGAGAGATGCGCAGTCCATAGGATCGTCAGGTAGTTGACCCTGGCTGTTTTCCCTAGTACTTGGATCGAGGGTACATATCCACGGTATATTGCGCAACCAGGCGTGTATTCCATCGATAAGTGACTGCACTCTTTGTCGAAAAGCTTCTTGTGTATGAGAATGAATAAAAGTGGACTTGCGAAGTCTATCGTAGTCTTCAATAATGCCGGGAAACCGGGCGAACATGTCGAGGAGAAGATCAAACTTTTCTGGCGTCTCGCCGTGTGGCATGCAGTGGATACTCGCCCACTGCGGTTGTTCAAGAAAGATTCGTTTTCTTTGATGTCCAGCCGAGAGTATCTATACAGTTTAGCCAATGTCTCGAAAGAGTCTAACCTTGGAGTACATACGATGAAGTATCTTGCTACACGCCAGATTTGTCTCTCTACTTCATTTTCTAAGGGCTTTGGACCCCGAGACTGCAACTAATATGCCAGTTAGTAGGCTACATAATCGGGCATCACAGTACTTGCCAATCTCCCCAAACCGTCGTAATGCAAGAGCCACGCGGTAGGCTGTGAGAAAACCACATTTTCATAAACGCAAAGACACATGACGCCCATTATTGTGCCCATATCTGTACTTGAGCTATTTATCTCGGACCGGAGTTGTGTTAGGGCATAAGAGTAGAGGCGCAGGCCCTGGTTGCAGGCTTGTTTATCCTGGTGTATTCTCCCAAAGTACATGGCTGACAAAGCGTGTATGCATGATTGATGAAGTGGCGACTTGTGTTCTGTCAACAGCGCAGGGAGAACGCCTGTCACGAGTGCCGGATCATACCGGAATGATGTCGGGGATAGCTTTGATAGAGTATATGGAAGGAAAAGCGTTTCTTTTGGTGGCAAAAGGGTATGGATCTGTGGTTTAAGAAATTGCGGGCTGAGATTCTTTGTACATTTTGCAGAGACGACTATGCGATTGCATTGTTTTGGCTTGGGTCGTGATGGTATAACGTTGGAGACAAAACGCGTTCCTTCATCAACAAACTTGAGTTGACTGTGATAACCCGAACAGGCAAGACCTGCATTTATGCAACGTTGACAATGAGGTTGTTGTTCGTCTGAGGGTCATAGAGTCAGTGGCTGTGAGATGACATGATTCCAGTTATTAGGTGACGCACCGCATTTAACCTTGCGTTCTACGCAGGTCCCGCACCGTTTGATGCGTCTCCCGTGCCTTGCCATGTGGGGTGGAGTACTCGGACTGCAATGTAATGCAGCTAGCAGGTATGTAGATCGATCCCGAGGGAAAGGTCGAGATCTAGATTGTAGAAAACGGTTCCCGTCTGTTGTTTTGGGGGTAGAGTGATGAAATACCCTGTAAGGAAGGGCGGAAAGAGATTCATGGGACGAAGCTGACAGTCAGCACGGATCCAGTTAGTCCAGTTTTTTCACCCTGGACAGGGCTTGGCTACTAAATACGAAGTAGGAGCGTTCTAGAACAGTGAGCTGTAGCAACACCGCTGTCGATCTTTGGTAAATCTAGGAGAGAAGGCCGAGTGGACCATTATACAAGAGCATTCATTGGCATTCTCCATCGTCAGATTGATAAGGACATTCTTCAATCTGATGTCTTCCTTGTCGACATGATACTTGCCCAATCAGGAACCCTGAGTATCATCATTTATTAGCTTAATCATCAGCAGTTGCCACCCGAGAGTTCCGTGCTAGCCCTATGGGGGCCGGCTCCGAGATCCCCCCGAATGTGATGAGAGATGCAATGTCGATCATTGGCGACAGATCCAACTTTTCGGAACTGATGGTAAAGAAAAAGCAAATTATCTCGATCCTTACAGAACCTTTCTACCCAAAGAATGTCAAGAACCCTTGGGCTGTCTAACTGTCCCTGGTAGCCTCCCACTTCCTGTCCACTGATATCACTTGATGATCCCAAGTCTAAAATCTCGTGGCTGTCCCCCTCACGGTTAGAAACTCAAAACCACGCCAGCATTGCGTTTTGACCTGCCTCGGTCGTCCTAGTCTCACAGGGCTATTCCAAAGTTTGCCTGGTGGCAGTTGGCGGGAGTTCCCTCGACTGAAGCCTTACGGAACTGGCTGTCTGCGCGTGCGTGCCATGCCATCCCGTGGCAGATTGACAGATTAGCAGTATCATTGTAAGGAGGCTTGAAACTATCGATTTCAAGGGCTGTATGTCTAACAATACCAGGCGACAGATGAAGCTGAGACGGTACCCAAGTCTGACCGGCGTCTGGCTTTCAAGCCACCTTCAATCGGCACATTCTAGAACCTTACATTAAATTGGTCAATCAGCTGACCATTTATTTTATAGAACCGATCATCTCTCAAAATGTGAAACAAAAAACACTGACGATGCACTGCATCCTTGCATAATAGAGTATCGGCCGAACCCACACTCACCGAGCTATCATCCTTGCCCAAGTTTAGTCGCAGATCATTCATCATGCATTCAACGGTTGCGCACATCTTATTTGTTTTGGGCACGGTATCATGCATCCAAGGAACTTCGGCCCAAACCACCGTGTTCATAATGGACGACGGAGGCAATTTCAACTGCCCGGGAGTCCTTCGTAATAACGACAACAACGACAAGAAAACATACTGTTGTGTCGGCGGAGAACTCGATCTCAGCACCTGTCAAGGCTGGCCCATCTGCACAGGCAGTTCCTGGAAGCCGAAGCCGATTAGCTGTGCAACTACGGTACCTATCAGTGCCACAGATTACAATGCACAAATCAAGAGCGCAAGATCGAAATATCTTGAGGATGACACGGCATCAGTGACTAGCGATTTTGTGTCCTCGGCGACTGTGGAGGAGAGTGGCAGCCAGCAGGCGGCTACTGCATCAGCTACTGGTGCGGCAACTGAGTCTTCAACAACAGGTAATGGCGCTAGTGTCGTGATGCCAGGTCTGGCAGGTGGATTAGTGGGAGGTTTGATGGTTTTGTGGAATGCTCTGTAGAGAGAATTCTGAAAGTTAGAGCAGATGATTGTGTTAAGGTCGTGTGATCACATGGCATCGACTACATGGTATCGATGAGACCTGAGTGTATGAGCTACTGCTTTCTGTCAACTTTGTTTATGTACTTGATTAGTATATGCACAACCCTTCTTCCGCCTTTCTGACAGGTCGTTGAAGCATTGTAGGCGACCTAAATAACACTTCGTTTGACTTGAGAGCCACTACTTAGTTGCAAATCACAGCCCACTCAAGCACATACGACCATACCTATCAGAGAACTCGGGATCCCGTCCGCTCTCCCATAGATAAGCTGGTAAGGGGCGGATTAGTAGTTGGGTCGGTGACGACCAGCGAATCCCCGCTGTTGTATGTGTTTTTTGTGTGTTTTTTGCAGTATTGCACCATGATTAATGACTAGATCAAGTAATAATACTCTGATTTAAGTCTGATGCCAGAGACCTGTGGATGCAGGGTAGCATAAAGACGTTCATGGTGTTTGGTTCAGGCCCATGCTTGACCTGTTCATATATGAAGGTTCAGTCAATACTCTGTCAAGTAACTTGAAATTGGTCTAATTATGAGTAATATCGCATACTTATTATATTTTGTGCCCGCAAAAGTAATTCTCAAGTTCCATACAATCCTCCCAAGTAATACTCCCGAGCATGATATGACTCTAGGCCGAACTGGGCTCTCCAGTAACATAAACAAGTTTAGGTATTTTCCTATGTTAAAATTTGTTGACCGCTTGTTCAGTCTACGCAGCCTTGTACGTCACCGCGGTGCAAATAGCTTCGGCTCTTGGGCCGAGGCCATCACGGGAGGCTTTTCTAGGGTAAACTTGCCGATCCCGAGTGACTACCATGTCTGCGATCTAAGCTAGCCCGCTTAGGATGTGTTGTGATCAATAAGGTAAAAATTGGCTGATCCGGGGCCAGGATCTATCAGCTAATCCATCATCAACACCTGGATCTGCTTCCCAATAATCTTCCAATATTTCCAATGCTCTTTGCGTGTTCAAGAGTCCCAGAGCAGTGGAGACACCCTGCAACGATGTCTTTATCCTTGGTCGGTCGCCCCCAAGAGCATCACAGCCGGCAAAGAACAGAGGTGGTGTGAGTAGTGTGACAGGCGTAAGGCCATCACGTAGTGTCATGCGTTCCGCAGATTCAAGAATGCGCTGGACAAGATCTTTTATGAGCGTTGATGATCTTGGTTCGTGGAGCAGACGTCGGTGGATAAGAAGGAGACCTGTGAGTTGCCAGATCTGATTCGACAATCTATACTCTTGAACTTCGGCGACGGTCAAGACTCGGTCGTGTATGGACATGACCGGGGGTGGATTGGCCTGGTCGCGGTCGATGATGCTCTGTAGATAGCTTAGCAACCACCACACCTCCGCATCATCTCCTACGTCTTGTGACGATCCCTCTAGTGTTTCCCTTTCGTTTCTGATATGGGATAGCCTGGCGATCTCTTTGAAAACATTAAGTAGGTCCTTCGTTCGCGCGAGGTACATGTCAATATAGACTGGCTCGTCATCTATTTCGAAAGATGGCAGAGTTGTTGGTGATGGGATAGCACATTGCTTCGGAGCAAGATCACTGATAGAGTGGCAGACCAGCGACTCGGTCATGTCAAACCACCGTAATAAGAATCGCAGCTCGTCGGTCGGTCTTTCCAGGAGACCTTTGTCTTGGATTCGTGAGATCAGTCCTCTGGCCCCTCTAAAATGTACACTCCACCGATCTGCATTGGGCTCACTGGCAAAAACTTCACAGACGAATAGCGCTCGAGCAGTAGCAAGAAGTGGAATGAGTTCCTGATCTCCATCATAGTCTGAAAGCTTCTCGCAGAGTGACCTGGAGCTGAGAGCTTGAAAACCGGCGACAATGAGTGCTTGGGCGCTCTGCTCCTCGTTTGTTTTGCAACTGGCGAGCCGATGTGTTGCGGCAAGTGCAACGATGCCTTGAAGTAGTGGCTCGTTGAACACGGCCATGGGAAGAATGAGCTCGCATAACTCGTTGAAGATTTTGGGATGCGGCGCAAGAGCCCTAACGGTTCTTTCGGTGAAGTATTGAAGTCCTGATCTGTGCAAGGGAGACAGATGACCGAAGAACTCTACAGAGGGAGTGAGAGGGATAAGTGGGCTCTGCGGATAGAGAACCAGCTGCGAAGACTCGGATGTCTCTGGAATTGCTGATGGCGAAGTTGATATCCATTGCGTTCTATCGACCTCTTGTACCGGTGGTGACGCAGCCTTTGGTGGATTTGGTTTGAGAGTAGAAGGAGAGACGTAAATGAAGTTTTTATTGTTTAAATCTGACAGTATCAGTTCTGTATCAGTAGTCCCAAGAAAACAGACTCACCTAATCTTTCAACTTTTCCTTCATTTTGGGTCAAACACTCCCCAAACGGTGAACGATTGAAGGGTCGCCCTCCCCAGCGCAACTTGACGGCGTATTCACACTTTGCGTTAGCCAGGGTGCATCGCCGACAAGCGGGTCTCTCCTCGCTGCACTTCTTCTTGAAGCTCTTGCACCTTGTACATCCGACCCATGATCGACGCTGAGGGGGCATAACAATAGGGTTTGAAGAGGATAAAGACAAAAGCAGTAGGTGGTCATACTGCTTGTGGATTTATGCCATCGGGCAGTTTCGTTTACCGACAGAACAGACGCGGGGAAGGTTGGTGAGTTAATGATAGCTTAGCTTGGAGGAGGCGAATGGAGATAGGGCCCGGGCACAGAGATTGCGCTAGGCCCTCTTGGGAAGGATGTAGCGACTGGTCTTTATCTTTGTTGATAAGGATCTTGGTTACTTGAATCAAGCATCATCGTCTGTTATTTCATGATATAAGCAAAGCATTCCAAAGTAAAGAGTCCATTAGCCACAATTCATATCTCAACTGACCGTTGAATTAGGAAACGCAAACATTTATATCATTATATAAACCAGAATACAATGCCAGGTGGTTGGCACCAAACTTTGTCCGACTCCATAACTCCCAGCCAAAGATACAAAGAAAAGTGCTCCGCAGGGGAATTCTTCTAGACTAGACGTACATGTACATCGCTCATCACTGACTCCAAACTCCAGAACAATTCCTTCGAGTCATTCTCATCAATGCTGCTTCTTCATGGCAAAAATGCTCAGAAAGATGCTCCAACCAAATCCTACACAGACCGCCACGAGAACTCTTGATCGTACAGGTACCCAGAGAAAGTTGCATATGGCTACCAGCGGCCAGATGTGCCAGCCAGCTTTGATAAGAGGCCAAAGCCTGTCACCAATGACGTCAAGAACCCCAGAAAGGCGCGACACGCGGGCGATGTTTGTGCATATGAGAAAGACGCTGCCACTGATGGCCAGACCGATAGTTTGATCGAGAATCAACTTGGCCAAAACATTGCGCCAGATGAGATCAGGGCTGATGCTGAACCAGGTTTTCGTCTTTGGTTTCTTGTCGTCATCCTTTTTCTCCAACACTTGGTTTGTGTCGCCCTGGACCTGAGGCAAGACTTCATTGACCCTCATCGCGTGACCAGTCGGGAAGCAATCCTCGAGGATGAATTGAATGACATTTCCGACCTGTGAGCCGACAAAGCCATAAACGGCGAACTCTATGACCTGCTGCTCATCGAAGGGTGAGTGGCCTCCTGGGGCTCTGAGGTGGATGATGAGCTGGGTGACGAGGTTGGCCGAGACTTTGATTGCGGTCGCCTGAAGGGCTAAGCGGAGATTGATGGCGCGGACCATGCTGACCTGACTCTTGGAGAGCGAGCGGGCGGGACTTTACGTGAAAAACATGTGAAAAAGCGAGTGACTGAATGAGATGAAGACGTTGGTAAGGCTGAGAGAATGCAGGCGACACGATGCGATGTGATCAGATGCAATGTGATGGTGGGTGGATGTTGGTTTGTTTGATGTGGAAAAACGTCAGTCAATAGTGACAGCCTGTCTTTGTGCAGGGGGTTCCCCTTGATAATTAGCGAATAAGAACAGCTGTCCCTTTTATGGGGGGGACCTGGAACCTGCACTGGAACATTTTTTGTTGGTGGGACCTTGCAATTGCGACTGGCATTGACTGGCACTGACCTTGTGCCTGTTTAATGTAGAGGTTACACAACATTTTGAAACAATTGAAACTCTACATGGGTAATATCCTTATGCAGGTGGAATTCGACGAAGTCTGGTACTGGTTGTCTGTGCTTGTCTTGAGGACACAGAAGTGCCCCCTACCAATGGATACACATTGATGCATGACAAAAAGGTAAAAGGACACGAAGACAAAACCCTCTGCGATCAAATTGGGACGGGAAATGGTAGTTTATGAATAAAAATGCAATTAACAGACACAGTACTGCAATCGCATAATTTAATCTGAAGCAACTCATCCTGATGCGAACATGAATGCTCCTCCTTTGGTTTTCAGTATCGCTTCAGGGTAGTCCAACTGTTAAAAAGTGAGTGCTAGGGATTGAGATGCACTGAAAACACCAAAAAAAGTGTGGATAATGGTGGATTCAAACCACCTGAGTTGGACGAACAGGGAATCGAACCCTGGACCACTCCCAATGATGAGCTCGGAGGAGCGAACATGCTAAGGGAGTATTATACCACTAAACCATTCGCCCGGAATTGGATGACAGACGTTCCACTATTTGGTAACAAGATTCCCATGCGTCAGAGTGTCAACCCTAGCCTCATCCTCGCATCAACGCTATTGTCATGCCTCGTTGGCATTGAATACAAGATGTATTTCTGCCTTTCGTGACAAGAACCAGTGATTAATTGTCAAAATACTGCTCGGGTTGTATACTTGCTTTCCAAGTCCTCAACACTGGTGATGCTTCTCCATGTGGTCTGGTGTCACCACACAGTAACAGGCTTTGCTATTGAGCAAACAAGTCCCCTGTACAATCGAGGGAATGATGCGAACAAAGCGGTAAGATTAGCATCTTACAATAAGCACAGCGCTTAGATACAGTTCGAAATTAGCATACTTTTTGCACTCTTTAGTTCTAGTGCAGGTGATACGAGATGAGAAACCTTATTACTAATATGGCAAGCTCCAATTCCGCCTCGCATTGGCACGACGATCCTCATTGACCACCGCCAAAGGGGAGCCTTAAAAAAACGTCGCCAAAACATAAAACAATAACGATTGCCGGCTCAGCCGGAAAAAGTGTCAAAACATGGCGTTCAAACAGTCGCCATCAAAAAGCGACGCCTTAGTGGACGTCGAGGAGGCGTCGTTCCATGCCTTCAATAACCCCAGGAAACTACCGCCTTGGCTGGATCATTTCAACGCGAAAGACCTCAAGATCTTGTTTAAATGCTCTATAGCTGTCTGGATCTTTACCCTGTTTATTCTCATCAGTGACACCTTGCGAGTACTTGGACAAGCAACCTTTTTCGGATGGTCAGTTTGCGACGCGTTTCTCTCTCAATTGAAACAATACTGACCGTGTTTTAGTATCGTTCTATTCATCATGCCGCCATCCGGCGTCGTCTTCATCCATGTCCTGGCTGGACTAATGATCTGCTTCGGCATGGCACTTGGCTGGGCTTGGGGAACCATGACAATGAAAGCAGCCTTGGCGACAAGACCCGATGCTGATCTGATGCAACGCTATGGCGAACTGCAGGCATCAATGCCCCAGAACACGACTAATGTTGGCCAGGCTTCCGGTCAGACAACGTATCAGCAGATAGCCATCTATGAAGGTTTCATGCTTGATACTCGGATATCCGTCACTTACTTCTGCATGATAGGATTGTTTGTGTACCTAATGGTAAGCCATTTCACATACCGACATTGTCTTTCGCTAATCAGTCCTACCCAGGCTCGTTTACGAGTCTCTGCGCCAAACCTCACACTCGTGGCACTCTTCTCGATGATTGTGACAGATATCTACTTAACCATTGCACCTCTCATCCCTACCTTTCAAGGCACGATTCCAAAAGTATTGATCTTGCCTACTGCCATCGCAGTCGGAGTCGGTGCTGTCTGTAATCTGATATTCTTCCCGCAGTCAACCTCTCAGATCACCCTTGGAAGCATGTCCGACTTGCTTGTTCCAATGAACGGCTATATCAAGTCTTTAACCTGGCATTTCAAGACTAGAACGAGGTTTGAACCAAAGCGACTCCAGGAGCTCAAGGGTGGCCTAGCTGCATCGCAAAAGAGCATTGAATCTGCCATCAAATTTCTTCCTATGGATTTCACGCGTCGAAAATGGAGCCCCGAGGACATCAAGTCTTTTCAAGAGCCACTACGCCAGGTGTTAGTATCATTTGGAGAACTCCTGCAGTTGTCTATTTCTCGCGAAGAACTCTTTGCGAAAGACGAGGCTCTCACAAATGCCGTCGATGAGCTCGAAAAGTCCGAAAAAGCCAACCATCCACTGGCATACCACGTTGCCAAAGCAGCTGATTTCCGTGAACTCACAAGCCATCCCGATACAGAAGAAATGTTGATCAAAGCCGTCGACTCATTGTCTTCTTGCGCTACGCCACTGTTGCGGACTTTGGAACAAAGCATCGACGCCATCGTTGAAGCACTGTCAGGACCCAAGGGCGATGTTGTGGCTCAACATGAGCAAATCCTTGCCTCACTGCAGGAAGCTCTGGATGACTTTGAGGACTCAGCTGCAGAACATTTGATTGCCCCTCATGCTCATCTGTTTGATGCGGATGGCAAGGTCATTTTCAAAGACAATCGCTCACCACCCATGTTTGGCTTGATGTCAGGTTTGTTGTACCACGAACGACTAATCAACCTCACCAAAAGCATCGGTACCGTTCTTGAGAAAGCCGTGGAGATGGAGAAGACTCGAACGAAAACACAGATGTGGTTTCCAAAAGGACTTCAGAAACTCTTCTCGCTGGGCTTTTCGAACGATGTACCGCCTTCTACGCTTGCTGGTACCACAGATCTCACTCGCACTATGTCAGCTATCTCGAAACCTGAAAAGAAACGTGGTCTGTTCAAGAAGAAGCCGAAAGACAAGCTAGAGGCGGGAGAGATTGAGAAGACAGCAGCTGCCATTTTGGAAAATATGCAACAGACAACTAGCAGACAGCGAAAGAAGCCAAGCCTTATCTTTTTAGGATTGATTAACTTCTTCACTGGAGTTGAGGGTTTACACGCCCTGCGAACACTGGTCTTGACAATCGCCCTCGCTGTCCCTGCCGTGATACCATCATCAGCAGGATTCTACTACCGAGAGAAGGGCATGTGGGCATTAATCATGGCACAAATGGCCCTGGAACCATACATGTCTGACTTCACCGCTGGAATTATCATCAGAACTCTCGGTACCGTTGCAGGCGGTGTTCTTGGTCTTTTGTGCTGGTACATTGGATCCGGTAATGGCCCTGGGAACCAATATGGCCTTGCTGCGATCATGGCTGTTGCCATTGTCGGAATGATGTGGTGGAGGCTTTTCGCTCCTCCGCAGCACATGGCAGCTGGCATCATGCTTACGTCCACCATGTACATGGTGGTCTCCTACAGTTGGGTTGACACGCACATCCCTAGTTATGGTAACCCTGGTGTGGGATACGAAGTCTTCTGGCGAAGAATACTTCTCGTGTTGATCGGCTTCGGTGCAGCTGTTCTTGTTGCACTACTTCCCCGACCTCTTTCAGGAAACAGACACTACCGACAAATCATGTCCAGTCAACTTTCGAGCGTCCGAGATCGCTATGCGCTCCTTATATCAGTCTGGCGCGAGCCTCCATCAGATTTCGTCGAAGTCATGGAGAAAGGATCGACGACGGTTGAAGAAGTCCTTAACTCAATCGCTCTTCCAATTCAGAAGACAAAGTTCGAATTCTCAACATCAAATCTCGACACCAATACACTCAGCCGTGCGAACCATCTGTGCACCAACCTAAATGTCTTTCTCACGCAATTCAGTTTGACCGTCACCAAACTTCCCCTGCCAGTGCGCGAGCGCTTCATGCAACGCGTAACCGCTGGTGATGAGAACCTCGTTGCAGATCTCATGTCAACTTTGACCCTTCTTCAGCACTCCTTGATCTCGGGAGAACCGCTCCCAGCAATCCTGCCAACGCCTTTAGTAGGTAGAGCAATGCAATTTAGGAAGCTCAAAGGAGAGCTTCATGATGAGGGTAACTCTAAGGAGTACCTAGCTACCCCACAAGGAAGGCATTGGTCTGCCGCTGTTTACGCGTTTGTGAGATTCTTGGGCACGCTCGATGATCTTGTGCTTGTTGTGAAGAAGGCTGTTGGAGAAAGCTCGCATATACACACGGATGCTTTCGGTAGAAGCATGTATTAAGGCGTGAAACGTGTATTTCGCTTGGATTTAGATCATAGTATATTGTTTACATGTTGAGCCTGAACTAAGACTCTTTCTCTGAACATTCACTTTCTTTCTGATCATACTTCAATCCGTAGTAAGCTCTTCGCTTTGGTGTATCTTGTCACCGTATGTATTCGACTCGTCTTCATTTGCAACGTCTTTCTAGAGATATATAAAGACTATTCAAATAATAAATACACATCAGCCGTTGGGCGCAACGGCGAACGTTTCTCCGTACAACCTTAATATCACCGGAGAGATAGCATCCGTAAGCTTTCAACCAAACTCAGTCGTTACTGTGAAATACAGAAGACTAGTTTATTCTTGTTGTTCACTTCGTGTCGCCGCTGCCGCGTGTTCGCGGTGTTTGAAGAGACCGAGGAATCCTAGATCATAACACACCTTCAACGATCCAGCCATGATGAATGCTACCCAGAAGTAATCAGAATCCGCTAGTAGTCCAGTAATCAGCGGGCCCAGACTCTGAGCAGTAGTCTTGGCTACGTTAATGAGGCCAATGACAACAGTCCTTTCGTTAGGCTGGATAATGGCGGCGAGAAAGGCTGATCGAGGTGCGACGTCCATAGACTGGGTGCAGGAGCGAAGAATCAGGAAAAGCACTGATATGTGAACCTCATTGGGGATAGGAATTAGGGCCAGGAAGATTGCTGAGGGGATGTGGGTAAAGACCATCGTCTGGGATACAGTGTCAGTGACATTCTGGGCGACCATTATGCTGATAAACTTACCTTGACATTGCCAAAACGCTTGGCTAGAGATGACGCTACCAGTACGGAGCCAGCAGCGATGATACTGGTAGTGAAGAATATCGATCCGAGTTTCCCCTCTTCAATATGATACTGTGACTTGAAGTAGAAAGTTATCCATGACCTATATAACTATTAGTCTCTGCGTGAATATCAAATCACGTTCGTTACTTACAGAGGGGCAAGACCTGAAGCAAAGCTATCTAGAGCGAAAAGCGCACACAAGCTCACGACAATGGGGACACTCTCGCGAGACACCTTAGCTCGCAGCTGTTTCTTTGGTGGTGGTTGACTTGGTGTCTGAGCTTGGTTAGGTTGAGTGAGAAGAGGCGCCTGTTCATTGGCATCTGCATCGGATACTGGTTCGTGGTGCGCCTCTACTGCAGCACTCAAGACAATAGCGGAGATGAGCTTCAATACTCCAATAGTGGAATATCCGTAGAAGACATTGCGGTAGACATCGACGACATCCATGCCCAAGTTGACGCGCATGTGATGAATAAGCCAACCACAAGTCAAAAGTCCAAAGGCACCGCCAGCAGTACCACATAGACTGTACCAGGCATAGACGTCGCCTCGCTTAGCTGGATCAGTGAGATGCGCCACGATACTCTCTTCGATGCCACGGAAGGGGCCAATCTCGTTACCACTATGAAAAAATGTCAGCATCAGAGATGGATTCTTCCAGTCTTTGCGTCTTACCCAGGACTAATGACGCCCAGAATAGCAGCAGCTAGTAAGATCCAGTAGTTACTAGATGTCGCAAATACAATTCCACTAGCAGTCATCAAGACAGCGCCCAAAGCCAAAACAACCCTTCTGCCCACACCATCAGCGAACAAGGCAAGTATAAAACTGATGATGATATCGCCAGCCAATGTTAGAGTCATGAACAACCCAACACGGGTTGTAGAGATACCAAGTTCCCGCAAGAACGCGACGAGAACGAGAGTAGAAGCGCCATAGGCGAAGAGGCGAATGAACCTTTGCACGCAAAGGATCTTGATGTCGCGGGTGGAATTGTACAGGGACAAAAGGCCGAGCTCTTGTAGGACTCTGTTGGTAGCAGTGGACTGCGAAGTCGCGTCAATTGAAGTTGACATGATGGCGACCGCAATGAAGAATAGACAGACTGATTTAAAGACCGAATGATAAAAAAATAATGGGTGTATTCATCTTTTGTCCTTACGCACGTCACTCCCTATATACTTTTCTACCTCCGAGGCTCCGAGCTTGAAAACATTCGCACTAAGCGTCGGTTGTGGTTAACGAGAATATAGTGGGAATAATTGCTGTCGAATCGTACGTCATGAACGCGACTGGAAGAATCTTTACCAGAAGGCTGATTGCGATTGGTGGATCGACTTGGTCATTGTCGGTTTTCCGAGCTGTTATTAATTATTATCGGCATAGGGCTTATATACTGGAATAAATCCGACTCCTTCAACAACCCCCCAGCTACAACAGTCTTCAGATTGTTCATCTTCCGTAGTATAGTGGTCAGTATGCAAGCTTGTCACGCTTGAGACCCGGGTTCAATTCCCGGCGGGAGAGATCCAGCCACCTGCGATACGCAGGCACACTTTTTTTGAGTCTTTTTTTTCTGCCTTTTTATCTTTAAAGCGCATCAATTGTAATACTGAATAGAGTATAATGACAATCCTTCCAATTTTATTCCACCCTGCCCAACTATTATCCGAACTAACACATAAATCAAAGCCTTATTTGATGCATTTCTTAATACAGGGGTTTGGAACGTCGCTTTCTCACAACTGCACAGTATTTATCTACATCCTCCTGGGCTGTTTTGGCTTTAGGATCGCTATCGCAGTGAAGATAACAACTTTGCAGAATAAGAAGTCAGCATGCTATCATGTCAAGAGGATGTCGTAGTCTTACTTCAAAATTTCCTTGTGAGTTCCACAAAGGCATCGTTCATTGTCAAAGCAGTAATCGGGCTTTGTCATCAGTTAATTTGTAAAGTTGTCAGATAGAAAAGAGTTGCATACATTAGGCCCTGCCTTGAGACATGCTGCGACCTCGCCGCAGTTTGCTGCCTGCGAAGCAACCCCAACAGCAGAGAGAAGAAAGACAGCAATGGAATATTTCATGATGAGACAAGATTTAGCTCCGAAAGGTAGTAGGTAATAGGTTGTGAGATAAAGTATGGGTGAGTCGACATGTCTCATGGAGCACACCATTGGTCTTAAATATGCAGGAACAGTTATTGTCAATCATCATCGACGCATCCAGATCCAGGATTCTAGCGTCAATAGCTTAGGCGTTCCTAATCCGTTCAAAATAGTCTTTAGCCGAAGACGCCTCGCTCCAGACACTTGAGCTTGGCAGTAACAAACCAAAGCAAACATGACAAAATGCCCAGTTATTGCATTCCATCATACCTGCAAGCCAATCACCTCCTACCAAATAGTCTCTTCCGCTTGAGGATCCAATCCTTCATCCGCATTCCAACACAGAACCTCGTCGAAAACGGCTTGCCTCAATTCTTCCGGACCAGGCACGTTGAACCATTTTAGTCATTAATTGTCATTAACTCGACAATCTCGACTGCTGGGTGACGTTGGTGGTCGAGTTCCATCTGCCACATGGGTTAGATTCCAGGTTTTTATTGTCTCGCTTCGTCAAGCCCCGGAAGTTTGGCGATCGGCCAGAGCGTGAAGTCATTACCGGAAGAATAATAAAACTCAAAATTCGATCAGTAAATTTCCAACATTTTAATTGAGAGCCAATAGCCTAATTGCTTGTTGAGGCCAGTTCAGGGCGATAGAGGAGTTTGTGGCTGGCCGTGGCTAACCCTGTAGTGCACGGCCACAATCTTTCCATGACGACAGTGTTTTTCTCTCATTCAGAAAAAGCATCTATGATGATGCACTCAGGGCTGACATGTCACCAAGAATGCCTACGATGCGCCTTCTTGCATCAGTATCAGCAGTCAGGTCGACTTTTACAAGGCAGAGAGTTCTATCTCATCTCACTGCCAGAAATACACTACCTTTTACCATCACACGACAATTCGCCATGAAACGAAGTGCTACTACAAACCGACTCAAAAAGGAAGAAAAAAGTCCCAAAAAGGCAAAATCCTCAGACACTACAGCTAAGCTGCCCGAATACCATGAGACACCATCAAAGAGGGACAAGGATGGTGAGATTATATGGCCGGCACCCAGGGACCAAACGGAAGCTGCCAGGGACTTCATCCGTGAATGGTCAGTCCAATTCCCCTTTAATGAAGATTTAATGGGTTATTTCTCACATCTATAGTGTCGCTGCCTCAAAACCTACCCTTATTATTCCAGACAAGGACGCCGACGGCCTCACTTCTGGGGCTATAGTCAGAAAAACGTTGATATTACTTGGCCTAAATCCGGAGTTGATATCAGCCTACGTGATGAAGAAAGGACTCAACGTTCATGACGAAGAATCGCGTAGAGACATTGCTTCATACAAACCCTCCTTCATAATTGTTCTCGACCAAGGATCGCGAGAATCACCGCCTCTCATCGATGAACCCCATCGAGCCTTGGTAATTGACCACCATTACGCAGAAGAAAAGGATCACCCCAAGGATGCCACTTTCGTCACAGCTTGCAACAGCCCACCCGTGGCCACCAGCGCCTTACTCACCTACCTGATCTGTCGCGACTTACATCCTGATGTTGAAGAGGCGTGCGGCTGGCTGTGTGCCATGGGCGTACATGGGGATCTAGGCAATAATATCAAGTGGGAGCCCCCATTTCCCGATTTCAAGGCCATGTTTAAAAAATACACCAAAAAAGCCATCAATAGTGCTGTGTCTCTCATCAATGCTCCTCGGCGAACAGCAGCATATGATGTACCGGCTGCATGGGAAGCGCTAGCAGCAGCCTCAGCTCCCATAGACATTCTGCAGAACGAGACATTGCGTGAAGCAAGAGAGGAAGTCAACGAGGAAGTCAGGAATCGTGCTCGAATACCCCCAAAGTTTTCATCAGACGGCAGAATCGCCGTATTCCGGATTAATTCCCAGGCCCAAATACACCCGGTCATTGCGACTCGCTGGGCTGGCCATTTGACTTCACCCAAGCTCGAGGTGATACTCGTTGCTAACCAAGGCTATCTTCCAGGCATGATCAACTTTTCGTGCCGTGTCCCGAAATGTGCCAGAGGCAGGGACCCCCCTGTCAACATCATTGAGATCCTTCGTAAAGAGGCTTCACGGGCGAAAGACCCAACTTTGAGAAAGCGTTTGGGAGAGTCGTTCGCCCGTGGACATAAGGAGGCAAGTGGTGGTATAGTCCCCAAAGCCGAGTTTGAAGAGCTTATGGAAGTGTTGGAAGTTGGTAAGAAGGAGCCTGTTTCCCCAAGGCAACCGCAAAAGGGGTCCAGGAAGAGATCAAACAAGCAAGGAAACACGCTCTTGAATTATTTCGAAAGAGGTTAGTGACCGTTGCATGGAAAGGACCAATTTCCCAAGAATTAAACTTTGTGCTTTTTGATAAAAGAGCGCAATTGAACTTGACAACTTTGGCATTTAGCCCCTGATATTAGCGGTGTAACCTTGAATGGTCTATCATTGGAGTAAACAGATTAGAAGCCGTTGTTTTCAATCGTGTTTTTGCTTGGCCAGTTGCTGACTACCCTGTTGTTGTCCTGTAATTTCCTTTTCAAGACAAGACAGCCCAAGTTGTAATGACGTAGGCCTTGGCCATTCACTGACATGTGCAACCCTCCCCTGCAGCTAATAGCTTGGCCTAGAAGAGCAAGTGGCTTACATTTAAGTAGAAACTGACCTACTTTCGCATGCCCTTCAGGCAATTGAGTGTCGACTAGAGTGATGATTAGAGTTAAAATGACCGTTATGCTTCATGCTAATCAATCGAGACCCCAATAGTTTAAAAACAACACATCTTTAATCGTCATGTTACTGGATAGCTTCACTTTTGAACAAATCCCGCAGAAAAAGTACGAGGTGGGGTAGCACTTCCAAAGAAGCCAAGATCGTCACGCCTAGGCCAACCACCCGATATTACATCTCACAATGTTATCAGTGGATGAACTAAAGGAAGAAATGTCGGCCCGCTGAACCTGGGACTTGACACTCCAAGTGCCGTCCTTTTAAGACGTCTGTGATGCCCGGGCTGATGGTTGAGCGCTGAAGACAAGTTCATCGCGTTCTTCGTTTGTCTCCCAACTTCTTCTCAATTTTGTTTGTTTCCTCATTTCAGGCTTTCATCATGAGATTCACCACAGATGTTGTTGTCACTGCCTTTTGGCTGACAAGCCTGGGCACTCCCTCCGTCGCTGTCCCGGCAAAGGGTCTCAAAGGTCCCGAACTCAAGCATTGGCCCAAGGGTGCCGCCAAAGCTCTCAACAAAATGATTGCTGCGAATGCCAACCAGGGACAATATGCTGTCTTCGACATGGACAACACCAGCTATCAATTCGATCTTGAAGAGTCCCTTCTCCCCTACCTCGAAAACAAGGGAGTTCTTACGCGCGACACCATGGATCCTTCTTTGAAGCTCGTTCCCTTCAAGGACACCAAGAAGCACAAGGAGTCGCTCTACAGCTACTACTTGCGACTCTGTGAGATTGAGGATGCTGTCTGCTACCCTTGGGCGGCACAAATCTTCAGTGGATTCCCACTACGTGAGCTCAAGGGCTATGTTGATGAGCTGATGGCCTACAACAAGACAATTCCCACCACTTACTTCGAGGAGGGCAAGGTCACGGCCACCGAGGTGTCCCCACCGAAGATCTTCGAGGGCCAAGTCGAGCTCTACAACCGTCTGATGGCCAACGGTATCCAAGTCTACGTTGTTAGCGCCGCTTCTGAGGAGCTCGTACGAATGGTTGCTTCCGACCCTAAGTACGGCTACAACGTTCCCCCCAAGAACGTCATTGGTGTCTCCCTCTTCCTCAAGACCAAGAAGGGCGAGATCACTACTGCTCGCAAGCAAATAGAAGACAAGGCCTACACCCAGAAGGTTCAGAAGCAGAACCTTGACGCTGAGATGACTCCCTGGCTATGGGCCCCAGCTACATGGAAGGAGGGCAAGTGGGCCGCCATCAACACCTACATCGATGCGTGGAAGAGACCTATCCTTGCTGCTGGTGACACTCCTGATAGTGACGGTCCCATGATTTTCCGTGGCGTCAATATTGAGAGAGGCGGTATTCACCTTTGGGTTGATAGGAAGCCTGCCTACAGAGAGGAAATTGATGGAATGATCAAGAACTACACCATTGCTCAGAAGGAGGAAAGACTTCCGGTTACAGCTAACAAGAACTGGGTGTTTGTGAAGCCTGCCGACCTTCACGATGATTGAGAAATTCAAGCCTAGTAGCTAATAGCTAATAAATACATCAACTTAATATTGGCTTTGTCGAGTCAACTCTATCATATACCAGTGGGTGACATGTGCTAAAAGATATGTTACGATGTTTTCTCCAATTTGACGTACCATAACGCCTGTTTACCGAGTTATATACTAGTTTCATTTAAGATTAACATATTAGCACGGACTGACAGCTGTTGTGGTTTTAAATCATAATTCAGCATATGCATTGATGAGTATATTGGTCATTTACTAGGTGACTACGTATTGCGCCCAAACCAAACTAGTTTATACACAGACTGGCGCACTTCTGGGCTTCCCAACTCCGTTATTTGGATTTGTCTGGGAGCAACCGTTCGCGAAGCCCAACGCAGTATCATCAACCGCTGCGTTGAAAGCCGCTCCACAGTTTGGGTCACTATAAATGTTAGATCGTGTCTTTCTCTCAGCTCTGGAAGACTCACCTCGCGCCACCGCCGGCACTGTTGAAGTAAGAGCAGATATCGTGAGAGAAGCAGTCTTGGGTGTAAACGTTCCCTAAAGCGGTTCCACTGCAGCCAGCACCACATCGTCCATTGCAAGAGTAACTATACAGTTAATGAGATGTGGGAAGAGAGGCGAAGTCAACAGAACTTACTCTCCAGATCCGGAAGGGTTAGCGCCATAGTTGCTACCAACAACACCAGTGAAGGTACATCTCTTGCCAGCACTGTTAGTCCATGAGGCCGTAGCTGTTTGTCCAACGCGAAGACAGGTAATGGCTCGCTTCTCAAGCGTGGGAGAAGCAACAGAGATGCTTGCAAGAACAAGAACAACGAGAGAACCAAGCATAATGGGCAACAAATATGATTGTAGTTTCTTTTACAATAGTTACCAACTCAACATCTCGTGTTTCTTATATAAAAATCTAGTCAAGTCGCTTACCCCGGCATTTAATTCGTCATCGGATGTCTGACTTGAAGTGGTAAGTGAACGGAGTATCTCTCGGAGATTGAGTGCTTGGTTCAAGTGACCCATCTTCGAAACACACTACGATCGTTAAAGAGCCAAGGTAAAGGGTGCTTCATGATGGCGAAATATGTACCCCACACTACGCTAAACTGAAATTGAAATTCGTCAGATGTACTATAGGTCGACATCGATGTCATGTGCTCGGAGTGGCCTTGTCCGTAGCTCTAAATGGCAACAATGTAACGGTGAAAACGAGAGTTCATTACATGCTGTTTGGTCCGAACTAATACATGTGGTCTCAAGTGCAAAGCGTATAGAGGAACTTGATCAATGATATGTATCTCCTGATCAAAGTCCTACACACACCTATCTGGGTCTTCCTATTTACAGCACGAGTTGACACATCCGATTGCTTTAGGTAAGTCTCCCAGTCTGCCGGGTAATTTCCTTTGTAACACGATTCTTCGTAGAGTCTCACGTCCAATGGAAAGCATCGAAACCGTCTCCCGACACCAAAAGCGATGGGCACATATATGTACAAGGATAATTAGTCATCATCATCTTATCTAGCCTAACCTAATCAAGATGATGCTGACTACGTCAATTCAATTCTTGACAACCCATCCAAGACGTTGCAAAAAGCTCTAACAGATCTGACTTACTGACCAGGGTCCCTGCACGATGCTCTACTGGCACTCTCTCAATTGTTTAAGACCCGATGTTGTTATATACGAAGGTCTCGGAGTTCCAGTTTGTATGAATTGTGGTGAGATGGCTCAGCCACTTGATGTGGAGAAAGATCACCAAGATGAGCTAGACATACCGCACTGTCCAAAGAGATCTGACATGCGATTGAACTGGCCACCTTCTGTGTCATACTCGGACGATCCTTATCGTTATGACAAAGGGAGGCCACTCTGTAAGGCTCTAGAGCAACACTTGGAACAACTCTGCACCCAGAGCGGAGTAGGCGATGCCACAACTCATCCCCTTCTCCAACATGTCATCGATCTACCCCGGGGTTTAGCTTCGTCGGCAAACACACCCGTCTATGAGATGCTTTGGGGCACTGAGATCCGCGTTTTGAAGCTATCAAGAGGCCAATTTGAAACCCCTCTACACGGCAATCTCGAAACCATCAAACTCCATAGCGATGAGGCCCAGACTGAGGAATCGAGTATACTCTTATCAGATAATGCTAAGGATCGCACGTTGTATGAAGCAATATCTTACACCTGGTCCACAATCTCGGGAAACCGGCAGAAGGATCATACTATCTTCATTGGTAAATCATGGAATGTGATGCCAATTACAGAAAATTGTTTCGATGCATTGAGAAGTTGTCGACTTGAAGATAAGGATCGATACCTGTGGATTGACTCTATATGTATCAACCAGTCAAATGTTTCTGAAAGAACTCACCAAGTTGGACTGATGAGAAAAATATACACTGCAGCTAATCGAGTGTTGATATATCTGAGTGTCGACCACGACAGAGGCGACTCGGCAGCTGTCAAAGACGATCCAGAGATCCTTTGTCTTAACCCTTACTTCTCCCGTATATGGGTAGTCCAGGAAATAGGCTCGGCGAAAAAGGCCATCGTACTATACAAGCAGCAATCGATGGGTTGGGAGTTCTTCCACACAAACCTGCAGCGATTGATGACCCGGAAATGGGTTCGACACTTTGGCCGCCCAAGGCAGATTGATGATGCTGAATCGTTCTTGGCCCTTCTCGAAGACACTTGGGATTGCCATGCGACGGACCCAAGAGACAAAGTATTTGCATTATTAGGATTGTGGAAAACGTCACCAGAGCCGGACTACAAACTTTCACCACAGGCTGTGTACATTGGACTGGCTTCTATGTTTGTGATGAACAAGGAGGCTACACTGGCTGGAAGAGTGCTCGACATGGCTAGCCAGGGTCATTCGATGGCTGGCCTACCATCGTGGGTACCCGACTGGAGCGTCAAGAGTCAACAATTATACCGAACAGTCTGGAAGAAGACGTCGTTTGTGCCCTCGACCACCATATCTCGCGGACGATCGAAGAGACAGAAGTTTCAAGTCCACAGGGGCACCGGGTCTTTGTGCGCTGTAGCTATAGAAATCGACATGCTGGCACCATACCTGGAGAAAGGTTTTCGTATGACAACTGAAGGGATGGCCACCTCAACAGTTGGGCAAATCCGCGTCTCTCTACCTCTCCATGTGGTATCTAGATGCGAACCAACGGATAGTATCTTTGAAGCCTATGAGTATGAGTTTTTCCTCATCCTTCGTAAGAAAACAGATACCCATATATATACGTTCGTTGGGCTTTGCGATTACCAGGTATTAGCCACTCCCTTGACGACGCAGGTCGATGCGATAAGATACTTGGATGACTGGGCATGGCTTCTTGATGGAGGGAGATCATGGAAATGGTCGAGATTGGCGAATTGGGAGAAGACACATAAATGCTGGCTTCATCTCCAGGAACAGCAGAGACTCGAACGTCGAGTATGCCTGCGAAGGGTGATACATAAGGCGCATTTTCTCAAGAAGCTTCATTGGCTGGTGGAAGCTGCACGGCACATTTTGCACCACGATGATGGTGAAGGGGACAAAATATCGGCATTTTTCAATCAGAGGTGGACAACCGTCTGCCAACAATGGCGGATCGCAGACAATCTGCAAGTGTCACTCCAACGAGAGCACAGAACTAGGGTCCAGCATCTCCTGCAGGGATATAAGAGCCTGGATCCATCGCCTAAATCTCTTGAGACGACCCGATTAACGCCTTCGATGTGGTTACCTATCTCTTCCCATTGGTTCCAGTGGATAGAACACTATGGAAAGGATCGGCTGTATAGCTACTACCCACCACTGGCTGCCTGTATAGAAAAAGAATTCCCTTTACCTCCTCTAAATCTGGTAGATGCACCTGACAACCAGATGTCATTATTTCTTGAGGCCGACCTCGAAACAGGACTCCGGCAACTCCAGCTCGTCGCCCACAAGTACCCCCTGAATATTCCAGAAATGATTGAGAAAAGCCGATCCTACTCACTGAATACACCTCATGGCTACAACTTCAAAACTGATTATTTGGATGCATTTCTGCGCTGGGTATCTAAACCGTGGTCGCCAAGCGTCGCTCTTCTCAAATCCGAGTCCAACATGGAAGGCATGTTGATCTGGGAAATTGGGTTCGAAGATAGGAACCAGCTCGATGTCGCTCACAGACGGCTCGACGGAAACTTTGACAAACATTTGTCAAAGCTATCGGTGTCTTGTGGGAGCAACATACTGTTTACAAAATTCTTCAACTTTATGTACAGGGAGCAATTCGAACTTTTATGGATGTTTGCTTTCCATAACTCTGATAGTACCAGTACCGCAAAGACAATCGTCAAATTCCCTCTATTCAACATAGGTGCTGAGTTTGCACGAGTGTTCTGGTGGAGGTTCCACCGAAGCGTTGTCAAAGTGTTTGAGATGCTTGGAGAGAATGTGCCCACAGACGATCAGGTTGAACAGAAATGGAATGATTGTCTGGATTGGTTATCACAGGGAAAACTCCAATCTCGCGTTGCAGATTTCCCTATGTCTGAACTTGAGTTCAAGCTGCGGCCCAAGTACAATGACGCGAATCCCTATAGCCAATGGCTACCAGACTTTTTCTCAAAGCTCAACTATCATGGGTCGTTTATTTCAACACGACTGCCCGAAGCAATGGAAGAACCTGAGCATATTGTTAGTGACTCTCGTCTACCAGCAACAGACTTTGCCGAGGAACAGCTTTCCGAGATTGTGTATTCAGAAATACAGCGAAGAAGGCTTCCTGAGGAACTGTTTGCGTTTTTGTTTAATGATACACGTGTGAATCAAGAGCCGTCCAATTTATCATACACAATGTTTGAAGCTATGGTTGCTGGCAAACAGTCATTTGTGTTGAGTACCAACATTGTTAACGAATGGAGGCAAGAAGAGGAGAAATGGAAAGCGGTGGAGGCGTATGTATCAAAGTCTGAATGGCATATGACTAGCTTGAAGTTGAAGCTGGTGGGGGGTGTAGCAGCAAGTGAAGAAGAAAGAGATGGCTGGGGAATATACAAAGAGATTGTCATTGTATAGTGTAGTTGCTAGGTAGGTACATGAGTACATACAATGCTAAAATTGTTCGTATCCGACAGGTAAGGTAGTAAATGAAAGTGACGCGTCGAATCCCTGCTTCATTGCAGAAAACTCAATAGTAAGGTGAAGATCATCACAACGCCGCAGCTCTCATCGTGAAGTCAAGGCTTGTCAAATCAACAGAGGAAGTCGTCACTGGGATCACTCCTTGCTTAATTCAGATGCAGCTGCAGCAATTTATTCAATCATGTATGCGAAAGTAAGTCATCCACGTTGGTATCGATCAGCACATCAAAGCGTATTTCAGGTTTGCTTGCTCTGACTGGTTCAGCCTATCTGTTACCTGGCGCTATTTATTTAAGATAACGGGTGGCATTGTGTAATGATAGGCGGCACGGCACAAGTGCCGCCTATTCTTCGTCCAATGCGGACGCGTGGGTTGTGTTGCATCGTTTTAAAGTTCAAAGCTGAACTGGAAGCCGTCATGCACGTTGGATGATCAGTTTCTCAGCTTCCGACAAACATGTTGATCATTGCTACTCGCAGTAATGAGCTCACTTGAGCTCTCCACTTTCTGAAGATTGAGTTCGTCGATCTCCCATAGTCTGACGGGAGAATCCCTTCCAATGAAGATCGTCCATTATAGGGATGTTACCTAGAGGGCGGCCCTAGGTTAGAAAGTTTAAGGCGAATTGTTGCATTCCGTCCGTTATCGAGCGGCTAAATCTTTTATGTTGGTAACACAGTACTATGTTAGAACTGGATAGTGCCTGTGTGCTTGTTGAGCGCGTATAGCTTATATATATCAGTCAACCAGGACATAAGAGCAGAATACAGGTACATGTTCGTCCTGCAAAATGAAAGATATACAGGGTGTAACCGTCTTAATTTACCCGCCATGTCTGACCTCAGCACTATTTATTCAACCCCCTCTCAGCTGTGTCAGTGTGAAGTGGATATGGTCTTTGAGTTTATCGATATCAAGAAGGTTTCAGGCTCATCCCCTCTTTTCTGAAGTGGAAACGTTAATCACGCTAATGTGGAATTTGGGATGTAGATCGTGAAATTTTTATTGTAGAGCATCTTTTTATGATGTAGGCTATGAACTGCCACGGTAGTTTCCTGATTCTTCGAGGTATTGATGACATTCCCGTTATGTAGATCATCCGAAGTCTATCGGCAGCTGAGGAAATAGTGCGAAGATGCGGATGATCAACAGAGAACTATTACAGCCGTAGGAGAGATTGTGTTGAGTGAGACAAGTATAAGTATGACAACATGCCCCAACTCCTTCAACCGATTCACTACACACAACAACACTTCATCCAATACAATCAGTTTCACATATCAACATCAACCATCGCTCAATATGTCTCTTCCCCGTCGCTTCTCCATTTCCATCGATGGCAAGCCCGTCTGTATGCCCAGAGAGAACCCAGAGCAGATGCCATTGGCAAAAGCTGCTGATCATGGGGACCAGCCTGCTGTCTTTGAGATTCGAGACAGCCACCTCGTCAGCGGTCCATTAGCCATGGGCCGTCGAAACCTGGAAGATCTCAGCATGCGTCCCAAGAACGTCGTATGGTGCACCGCGGAACAGATGTACGAGCTACAGCCTGTGCACGTTGAGGATCGTGGGAATGGTCCTGAACTCAGTTTCAGTGGTATGATAATCTCCATTGTTGTATATCTAACTGCCCTAACATTTCACGATTGCAGGTTGTAAGCTGGCGCTCGTTGAAGGGCAAATTGTCTGCCCTCTTTTCCCAGGTGTGTGTCCTTATTTGATAACATCAGACCCCGATTAGTTAACAGACAAAACAGGTATGACTCCTGACCAAAGAGTCGAAATTCGACCCGAGTAGGGGTAATGCTGCAGTTGTCAAGTCCACAAAGCAGAAAGGATATTTCATAGTTCTCAAAGATATTGAAGGGTGTAATCCTTACACCAAGATTTTGCTAAAGTAGATTGAAATGGAAACACTTCCCATTGTGCAAAATCTTCTGCCAAGTATCGTGACTGTGTCTTTGATGCTTCTACGATTACACACTATGTATCTCTCGTTTGCAACATGTAAAACAACGAATGAGCCCCACATGTCTATACAGCGCCGAGGCACTGCGATGTAATGCATATATACTACAAAAAGAAGTCTGGCTTGTACATACGACCATACCTACCAGAAAATACGGGATCCCGTCCGCTCTCCCATAGTCAAGCTGGTAAGGGGCGGATTAGTAGTTGGGTCGGTGACGACCAGCGAATCCCCGCTGTTGTATGTTCTTTTTGCAGTCTGATAGAGGACTTGATCGTGTTTTCTCTATTTTTTACACCCATTTTATTCCGCGACAGCTGCGAATTAGACTAATACAATGTTATATCAGACCAGTGCCAGTATTCACTGTACAACTGCCGTGTCCCGTGTGTTCGTTGCGACACAGCGTATAACGGTACTGCTAGTTTCATAACGGAAGCGCCCAAAGGAACGATCATTCAGCCTCACCAACTACAAAATCAGGCCAGATGACCTTGCAAACACATTGAGGGCACTCATATTACTGCAACGACAGCTTAATCACAAGTAAATAACCTGTGATATCTGTGCAGGGCCACAATGGCGACTGTTGTGTCCACAGCGGCGGTGGCTGTTGCTGCTCATTTCCAGCCTCATCCGACCATCGAATCGCCCTCCAGCGCGACGCCCCAACCAAGTGCATCACCTCAAACACGAACAGCCCCCCCCCGCCCCTCATTGGAACGCAACAGATGTATCTCCTTGGTTACGAAAGCACATGTTGTTCTGGATAGTCGAGCCAACGCCAATTCGAGCCCGCACGTGGATGCTCGAAGGTTTCGACCACCTTTAAGTTAACAGGCTTGGCCTCCCTCGCCACCTGGAAGGAGTCAAGAAGGAACTCAATCAAGAGTGGGATACAAAGAACAAAGCTACACCGAAGCATCCTGCGGTGAGAACAAAGAAGAAGGCAGACACCGCCACCAGCGCACCAGCAAGCAAGAGGACCAAAGGGACTACGTCAATCAAGTCTGAGACAATATCAGAAGCAATGCTACCACCACCACCTCCAAAGCTTTTTGGAAATCGCAAAGAAAAATACGCGATCCTAACGGACTTTGATTGCTGCGACGGGCAATCAGACCCTGCACACGACTACATGTGCAATATCGTATTGTCACCTGATGACGGCAAGACTATGCGAGGTCACTTCAACATGGTCCAAAATATGGACTACAACATTCTGATGTTCTTCGAGAAGCGTCCGACTGAGGCATCCTCTCAAAAGGTCTGATTTAGATGGCGAGGCACCAAGTCACACGATGGTTTCAAGAAATTCAGAGTTGACAGCAACCATGGATGGGTCAAGTTTCTCGGAGACTACCGAATTGAGGTATGGCTTGACAAGCTCAGAGTGCATCTGGATGCGCAGAAGGGGAGGGGGATGGGCGAGAACAAAAAACACAGCATGGGCGGATTTTAGGAAAACCGGCATGATTATGACGACAAGAAAATCGACCTTTTGGATACTTAGAAACTCTTTCCTGACTGGTAGTATTTGGTTCCGTGGGGTTTGCGTCAAACTATACGTGCCACTCTCTGAGTTACTTGTATCCAAGACAACGTTTCGGCGGAGTTTTGTTTTCATCCATTGTTCGTAATCTGGTCCTCAGTATAACAGGGAAATTGATCACGGCTACACAACACCTCATCTCAATCAACATATCCTTCTGTACAATAGTCGACGTAAACTTCCTCGTAGTCTCATTACTTCCACGAAATATCGGTGAGCGTTCAGCTTTCAAACTGTACCAACCGCCTCATATCACCCATTCACCAGAGGTTCTACTGTACCACTATGTTGCTACGTGTTCAACTAGCCCGGATGACTTGTTATAGATTTACTGTTTCACCTCGGTCCGATTAGTTCATTGTTCTTCACCGAGTCTGCGTCACGATCCCTTTATGTTTTGAGGTAGCACCAGTCCGTACCCGTTTCGAGATCTTGTGTGAAGCACTTATAACACACACGGATGACAAGTGCTACATATTATAACGACTATCTGGTGGGTAGGTTTGAGCCTCGTGAATCACATAGCCACCAGCTCTATAAAAGCCCCCAGAGAAGAGGCAAACTTCTATTCTCTCCAAACTTTCACATCAAAAACATTCAACACTTTGCCAACATAACGACATCGAAGTTCAATTCATAAAACACTTTAAAATCTTTACCATTATTCAACATGTCTAGCCTTCCCCCTCGTTTCATCATCGTCGTCGATGGCAAGCACGTCGCTAAGCCCGAGCAGAAGGGCGAGGAAATGTTCCAGGCTCAGTCTGGTGATGAGCCCGCCATCTTTGAGCTCAAGGGTGACCGCCTTGTCAGCGGTGATTATGCTCTGGGTCGATGGATAGTTGAGGATGTGTCTGCCCAGCCCAAGCCCATTATGTGGCGCAAGAACGAAGAGGAGTCAGGAGACTTGCGGCCCGTGACTGTCACAGATGGCGCCCATGGTCCAGAGATTAGTTTCTACGGTTAGCAGTTACCCTTCACAATCAATTTGAAGTCTTTACTGATAGCTCGATCGATAGATTCTACTGGTATTGCCATTCACGAGGGCAAGCTCTTCGCGGTTTTGGCCCATGGTAAGTCAACTTCATATTACAATAATCAGTAATTAACAATGGTATTTAGGTACAGAGAGAGCTCAGTCTGTCGAGATCCGTGCCAGCGAGGATTAGGCAGGGGCTTGTAGGTCTACGTGGAGGGTCGCTCGTTACCAATAGGTGGAAAGACAGGGTTGTATGGCGGTCCTACATATTTAGGTCCTCATAACTCAGAAACCATAGCACTATAAACACTATCGGAAATCGCTAAGTTATGCCGTATCATATGTTATTACTGGGAGGACAACTTGTTCATGAGCAACCAATATGAAGATAGAATATGTCATCCAGTACTGCCATTCACCAACTACGTACAAGAAGGTAATGTATTATGTTAAGTTGCCACTTTTGATGATGCCAAATAATTTAGCGCATGTGACCTTTGTCGTAAAGCTTGGGCCTGGCACTCTGGGCAGCATCTTTCGGCAAGTGTCATCGTTGGCCGTTTATTGTCCTGTTCTGCTTATCAGCTGGAGTTATTGCTATCATGGGGTAGTATCAAGGAGGATTGGTTATGAAGAATGAGGCGAAATGGTGCCAAGATTGGAGCAAAGATTGTCATTAGACTGACTACAACTACAGTATAGATCTTCCAACAGGCGAAGTAGCGCTACCAAGTAGAAAAGGTCTGGCATGACGACCAATGATGGCTTCACACGAGTGGCCATTTTTGTCACGATTTAGTGACCAGGACATGATCAACACTCAAGCGATCTACACCCCCCAGAAGTCGTCGTGCTCATTAGTAAATCCAACTTTGTGCAAAACAACACATTTCATGTACGCTTTGACTTTAATATCATGTTCATGCTAAAAAGCAGAGCCAACAGAAGGGGCTTCAGCACGGCCTAACGTTCCTCAAGTAGGAGTTGAACGTCTTGAAATATGAACACGGTCGACGAGTCAGAAGAGGGAGTCAACGGCTGTCATCTTTTTTTCTTGCCACGCCTAAAAGAAAGCTAGTCCATAATGTCATCCTCTAAACTAATACTCTCTACTAGTGTACCTTTCTTTCACATGGTCGCTGCTTTAACCGGACCTAATTCTAGACCCCTGCATGTGTTCAACTGCCAGCAGGTGGGGTCTCACTGTCGTATTTTGATTCCAAGAACTCCCCTGCTTCTGCAACGTTCTGTTGGTTGCTGAACACGTTGAACCAACGGTTTGACCCAAATTTCATCCTGGAATCTCTTCATGATTGGTGCGCGGTCCTTCGGTTGTGCATAAAACAACTGCAAGGATCGAGACATAACCCTACCTGCATATACCTGCCGGCTCTGCAGGTTACTTTATAGAACATGGGGCACAGCTTCACCGTCTATTGTCGGAATGCCGACTTCCTAAACAGTATAATAATGTTTGAACAAAACATTAAAAGATATCTTAAGATACAATGGCGCTATTCTCGCACAAGAGAATTGTAATACAACGAGTATAATATCGCTAGGCGAGCAAATGACGCGACAGAACCAAAACCCGCTCGGCGGGATCTAGCTTCTTTAAGGAATGATTGTCATTAAGTAAAGTCAATTTCCTTAGCCTTGGTCCTTCCTCCGTGAGATTTGGATCTTACGATGATTATTTACCTCACCTATATCCGTGTGGCCCGGGCCGCTCCCAGACCCCGTTGACGTGATTTCATGATGTTTCAGACCCTATATGCCTGCCCCTATCGTCTTCACGGCATCGGAATCCATGTTTTTAAGTACAATTCTGCTTCCTTGGCCCTTCATATAGTTTTCTCGACATATACATACGGTATCTTGGCAGAGTAAGCATCTGCGGCTGGAGATTGAGGCATATATATGTATGCGTACCCAGAGGGTGGTAAGCTTCACCTGACAGCTATAATGTCACATCATGTTCATTAACGTGCATCCTCCTCCGACACTAGAGCTGTATCCCACTTTGACGGTATCCACAGATCGGCTCCTTCGATGTTATAGTAACAAGTCAGTGGAGCTCGTCGTAGCGAGCCAGTGTAAAATCCATCCCAAGTCCCAGCCAGGACCCAGGATATCCGAGGGTTTTGCCGACTGCAATTGCTATTCATGCAGCTCAGTGGGTTAGTACTCACCATCTTGCGTCCTGGGATAATCCAACCAGAACACTATGTGTAGCCTGATTTTCACAGGCAGACCCTGGTATGGAATAGTTAGCGGAGTAAACTAGGAGCTGCAGGCAATGAACCCGGAAACCGGGATCATGTTTCTGTGACTGCATTGGTGCTGATACGGTTCATGGGCTTGTCACAATACTGTACGCTACCTCCCTGAGTATTGGTTACTATTCATATATAGTCTCTGTTTGTTACCAGGGCATTGCAATCCATAGCCCGTTGTTTCTCATGTGAGTTTGCTTAGAACTCGCGACTCTTTCACCCAATCCATTCAACATCTCTGTTCTGTTCAGTTCATCCTGATCATACAATGCCTCCTCAAATTCAACCATGGCGAGAGCCCATTGCCATTGTAAGCATGGCATGCCGTCTTCCAGGCGGTATCGATAAGCCATTGGACCTCTGGGACCATGTCCGAGCAGGCCGTTCATCAGCCACTCCCATACCGAAAGATCGATTCAATACCGAGAACTTTCTGTCCATGGATCCCAACAAGAAGGGAGAACAGGCCTTCAGAGGTGCCCACTTTGTGAAGGGAGACATTAAGCAGTTTGACCACAAGTTCTTTGGAATAAGCAAAGACACGGCAACTGCCATGGATCCCCAACAGAAACAGTTACTTGAGGTTGTCTATGAATGTCTCGAGTCGGCCAATATTTCTATGGAAACCATTTCCAAGTCCAAGATTGGCTGCTATTGTGCCATGTTTGTTAGTGATTACCACGATATGCTGATGCAAGATCCTGAGTATCTTCCAACCTTTATTGCTATTGGAACGACACGCACTATGCTTGCAAACCGTATCAGTCACGCACTTGACCTTGGTGGTCCTAGGTAAGCCGCAATCAAACTATGGACTAGTCAGCTAGAATACTAATGTTTGTCATACAGTGTTACTATTGATACAGCCTGTTCTGGTTCCCTTGTTGCATTGCATCTTGCTTGCCAAGCACTGCAAGCTGGCGAGTGTGATGGTGCCGTGATTGGTGCATCTAATCTATTTTTAAGCCCTGATTACGCTTTGTCACTCACGCGACTTGGCGCTATAGCCGCTGATGGTCAATGTAAAACATTTGACGCCGGCGCAAATGGATACGGCCGTGGCGAAGGAACCAACGCAGTGTACATTAAGAGACTCAGCGATGCAATTCGGGACGGAGACAACATTAGATCCATTATCCGGGGTACTTCCTCCAACAGGTTCGCTTCTCCTTCCCCTCAGCAACGTTAACATCACTGACAATTCTAGTTCTGGTGCCACCCCAGCAATCACGGAACCCTCTGGAAGGGCTCAAAGAGATACTATCTTGCAGGCTTACGCTCAAGCTGGGATTGACAACTTCAGTGACACAGGGTACTTTGAGTGCCATGGAACAGGTACACCTGTGGGTGATTGTATAGAGCTTGGGGCAGTGGGCGAAGTCTTTAGTGCTAGCCACAACTCTGGAGATGCCCTTTGGGTTGGCTCTGTAAGTTGCGATCCTGCCCATTTCTTTTTCTTTGTATTATTTCAAGATGAGAAGCTGACAAGAGAACAGACCAAGCCAAATGTTGGACATTCAGAGGCAGCCAGTGGTTTGAGTAGTTTGATAAAAGTGGTTCTAGCCTTAGAAAAGGCAGAAATTCCTCCCAACACCAACTACAAGACACCAAATCCCAAGAGTATGGTCACAAACTGCTCTCGCATCTTTTGACACATAGGCTAATGATGTTTTTCAGTTGACTTTGATGGTTGGAGAGTTCGTGTACCAACGAGCGCACATCCTTGGCCTTCCAAGTCCATACGACGAGCAAGTGTCAACTCTCTCGGTATCGGTGGATCGACTGCGCACGCCGTCGTTGAGTTTTACGAGCCACTCAAGATTACTTATGGGTCTGCTAATGGTGTCAATGGGACCAATGGTATCAATGGCACTCATGCAGTAACCGTTACCAACGGTACTAATGGCCACCATGAGGACAAAGCCAACAAACCCTCCTTCCTTGTGTTTACATCTGGCGCATCCCGAGAATCGCGAGAAACGAACACCAACAACCTACTGGACTTCCTCAAGAGCCACGAGGAATGCCACGAGTTGACTGGTCCCCTCATTACAGCCCTAAATGCTCGAAGCCAGATTCACATCCGACCTTGGAAGTCGTTCACCGTTGCCCAGACAGTAGGTGACCTCATCCAGCAGTTGGAGGACAATGCAATGAAGTCCAATCAAACACCAGTTGGTGGAAATGAACCTGACATGCTCTTTACATTCACTGGTCAAGGCGCTACATGGTCGCAGATGGGTAAACGTCTTCTTGAGACGTTCCCTGTAGCGCGCAATACCTTACATCAGCTTGAAGATGTCATCAGGGAGCTTTCATCTTCAGATAAATCTGTATGGTCTTTAACAGGTGCGTCCAAAGGGCAGATTCTCATTGATTGACTCATTACTGACTTTCTCCAAGCCAAGCTTACTGCCGAGCTCACCCAAGATGAGATCAATCTGCCATCACTCGCCCACCCTCTGTCCCTAGCAGTTCAGATAGCTCTTGTCGACCTTTTGTCCAGTTGGGGTGTGCTTCCAGATGGTGTTGTTGGCCATTCTGGTGGAGAGACAGCCGCCGCATACGCATGTGGTGCTCTCACAGCTAAGGAAGCCATCACGGTTGCTTACTACCGTGGAATCGCCTGTGAGAATGCCCCCTCCGGCTCTATGCTTGCTGTGAGAAGCGACCCCAATGCAAAGGAGCTTCAAGACGCATTGAAACGCAATGATGTGCAGATTGCCTGTTTCAACGGTCCCCAGAATCTCACTCTTGCGGGTCCTACAGAGGGAATCAAGAATTTGGCTGCCGAATTGAACAGTCATGGCATTGTTTCTAGGGCTGTTGCGGTTACTCGAGCTTACCACACCCGATCCATGAAGGCAGTTGTTGATGACTATGTCGCGCGCCTTCGGAGTGTCCTCCATCCAAA